AAACATGATCATAGCGTCAACAAGAGGTGTCTCAGATTTGAAGCTATGAGCAGCGCGCTTGGCAACCTGATCGAGGAAGTCGTAGAAAGGAACGCAGAATAGAAGTACTTGAAGAATCTGGACGGATATCAGCAGAGGACTCAGGGCGACGACAGGTCAAGACATACCGAATTCATATAACAAAGGTTACCCGTGTTTACCAGACCACGAGGCTCGATGAAGGAAACCTTTTTTCCTGAATCGACTGAGAAAGACGCCAGAATATCGGCAAGTGTGTTGTTTTTCGGCACGACTGGGCCATTGGGAGCAGCAACAGCGCCGTTGGGCACAGGAGCTGGCTGCGCTGTAGCAGGAGCATTCTTTGCTCTAAGCAACTCTGCCCATGATTTTGGCGCTGCCGGCTTAGGCGCAGATGCTGATGGCATCTCCTCGGCGTTTGCGCCCGCATCCGGTGTCGCCACCACTGCGTCTTCAGCCTGCGTCGACTCCCTGCGAGTCGCAGCGGGCGACTTGACCGACTGTTGTGTAGTAGAAGCCGCACTTGGTGCTTTTGCGGATTTGACAGGGATGCGGGGTACGGCGGGGATCGTGGTGTTGCGGGCATGCTTTTTTACGGTAGCCGAGGGCTGCGCAGGCGACTGCACGGCGGATGGTGTTGTAGTAGACGGTGTGATAGATTGCGCCAAATCGGCCTCGGAAGGCGGGTGTGAAGTAGACGGGGTATCGACTTCAGCGTCCGAGGGCCCCGCAATAGTCGAAGCCTGTGATTCTTCAGGCTCTTCAGTTGGAGTCAGATCGCCCTCAGTGTGATGCTCAAATTCGTTGGCGTCATCCTCATCCACAGCCTGCTCGCGTGAAGGGAGCGCCAAAGCCTGCTCTTCGGTAGACACGGGAGCTCTTCGCCTTCTCCGCCCTCGCGCAGCGCGCGCCGGGAACTCTGAGTCGGGGACGGACAGCCAGGGTAGAGGCGGATAGAAGGGCTTGAATGCGATGGATTGCGGGGTGGTCGGAGCTGCCTGAGTCGGCTTTGAGTCAGCAACCGGGGGAGAGGTGTCGAGGCTGGTGCTTGTCTGCGGGGTCGGAGAGGTGACTTGGGTGTGCGACTGGAGTGAAGCTGTGGACGGCGCCGGCTGGGGAGTGGGCATACGGGGAGCAGGCGGAGTGCGCGAATGGACGATGGGGGGCGTTTGACCCATGGCGCGATTGACTGGCGGGGCCATGTGCAGGTGGGAAGAGACTACGACAGGCGAGGCATGGGGTTGAGGCTGGAACTGGCGCGGAGGCATGGCATACTGTGGCGGGGGCGGCGGTGGTTGCTGATAAGGGTACCATTGCTGCTGCATAGGCTGCATGTGTTGGGCGTAGCCGTGGGGAGGCCCGTACTGCTGGAGGTGGTGGTAAGGGGCGGCATAGGGGTTGTGGTGGACGGGCGAGTGTGTCTGGGGCGGGATATGGTGGTGGTAGTACTGCTGCTCCTGCCTCCTACCAGGCATATAAGGACCGGGCATCATGAGCGGCAGACGCGGTGTTGCCTCCACAGTCGGCGCCGGCTGGAGACCAAGCAGCCAACTTGTGAGGCAACGGGGAGAGTGCGACTGCCTCTAGCACAATCGTGTCTTGCAACGACAAGGAGATGCGCCCGGCGTGATGGCAATGGGCGACAATGCGGCGTAGAGAGATGCGCGGATAATTATTTGGATGATGCGGTGCAGGGTCGCGCGACGGCGGTAGGCGAGGCGGGTTGAGGTGTGGATGGGCGAATAGACGACCGCGGGGTCATGGTATCAGGATGACATGAGCGCAGCAGAGGCTGCCCGCAAAGGAGATGGGTGGGGTGCAGAGTGCAGAGGGTGGATTGGGATGAGGTTGTAGACAAAGTCCCAAGCCGATCCGAAAGGGCAATCGCAACCGTCTGTGCGGAGACCCTGTCGTCAGAGATGGATCCCAAGGTTTACCCCCCAAGCACCGCGGCGGCATTCGCTGTGCTGCACAACGTTTGTCTTGAAATCCATCAGCTCAAGTTGGCTGGCTGGTCTTCAATGTCTACGTCTTCACGACGCAATCTTTGTTGCAGGCCAGCTGTTCCAGACGTTGCAGGTGGGCGAGTTGGACCGCAAACCGCACGAACCACGTGATTGCACGTCGTCATGTCTATTACCTAGGCTGTCAATCGCCACTCCACCTTCTGATTCTTGTCCCCTCCAAGTCACCCTCTTGGGGACGCCTGCACTCGCATCAACACACTACTACACCCATATTGCCCTCTCCTCCTCTGTTTTTACATCCTCGCCATATCGACGTTCGTTCTATCAGCACCCTGCATCTCCTCTCGCGTCGCACGCAAGCCGGACATCAGCCAGTACTGCGCGCGCCAGCACCGTACGCAATAACTGAACAGACAGCATCCTTTGCCTGCCGTCGGAGACGCTCAGTCCTGTCTCTGTTACCCTGGTCGTAGTTCCGGCTACTCCCGCCAAAACAGAAACTCTGGCCGACGTCGTCATCGTCATCGACGCGCTATCGTGAGCCCTTAGCTGGGAGTCATGTCTAGCAACCCACCCGTCGTGTCCTCGTCCAAGGCTTCTGCACCTTCTGGACCCGCCTCACCCGCCCAGAACCAGACACCGTCCATCAGTACCAGTAGCTTCTTCGCACAGCCGCGGGGTAGTGGCGCGCCGGCGCGATCATCACCCACTCCCCGGAACACGCAGCAGCAGAAGAAGCAGCACAAAGGCTCGAAGCGATTCAGGCAGACGGACGAGGATGCCATTGTCGAGTCTCTCGCCATGCGTCCATTTAACAATCGCAAGGGGCAGACGTCTATCACCCACCTCATGAACTTTAGTCTGCCGCCACGCCCAACCAACCACCAGTCGCATGGCTATGCAAGGAACTATCGGCGCAACCCGACCTGGGGTCTTGGCTCGGGTTACCACGCCGTCGACAAGGCGAGGTGAGTTCCAGCGGCCTGAGAACGCTGTAGAGGGCTCAGCTAACCTTGGATAGATATGTACACGCCAACTACCGCTTTATCGTAGACCCGCGCGGCGATTATCGCGCGCAAAGCGTCGATGCTGATATCCACCTGGACTGGAACAACGTCCTGCAGATATTGGCATCGGAGCTTTCACAAGAGGCCTCCTGCCCTATCTGCCTAGGGACTCCAGTAGCCCCGAGGATGGCCAGATGTGGCCATATCTTCTGTCTCCCATGTCTCATCCGCTACATGCATTCCGAAGACGAGGGCAAGGCCCCTGAGAAAAGGGCACGTTCAAAGAAGTGCCCGCTGTGCTTTGACACCATATATGCATCCGAAACTAGACCAGTGCGCTGGTACACAGGACAGGAGGGTGAGCCTCCCAGAGAGGGAGGCGACGTAGTACTTCGCTTGGTTGTCAGATCCGCTGGAAGCACCCTGGCTATGCCTCGTGATGGAGCGGATGCTCTGAGTAAAGACGAGGATATTCCCTGGTACCATGCCGCCGAGGTCACCGACTACGCCCGTGTGATGCGAGGCGGGGAGGACTACATGTTGGAACAACTCGATCAGGAGATTCTGAAGCTTGAGCAGCAAGGGAAAGAAGATGAGGTCATGTTTGCCGAAGACAGCATGGAGTGGACGAAAAAGGCAATCAAAAATATACGAGATGCCAAAGAAAAGCTAAAGGGAATCGGAAATCCGCCAGAAGAACCAGTCAAACCAGCAGAACCGAAGACGAAGAGAGCACCAATCGTTTTCGACGAGGGTGCCGCACCAGAGATGTACACGATACAGAACGCTTCCAAGTCTGGCCAGGATTTCACCCCAATACCGAACGCCTCCGAGGCTGATGTTACTCAAAGCAAGGACAGGACGGTGTCCATGTCATCGCACTCCTCTGCAGCAAGTCACGGGATATCTCTTACGCTCGCGGAGCTTCGCAATCGACAACAACACGAGCACCACAAGACACCATCCGAGTACTTCTTTTACCAAGCATTACTGCATTACTATCTATCTCCATTAGACATTCGCATCTTGAAAGCGGCTTTTGGCAATTTTGCGTCATTTCCTTCAACGATCCTTCCTCGAGTTGAGCACGTGTCTACAGGACATGTAGTCGACGATGAGTTGCGGAAGCGCACAAAGTATTTGGCGCATCTACCGTATGGCTGCGAGGTTGGCTTTCTCGAATGTGATTGGACCGACACTGTCGCCCCGGAAGTGTTGGAGCGCTTCAGGCCCGAGATTGAGAAGAGGCGAAAGAAGCACACCGAAAAAGAGACCAAGGAGGAGAAGGCGCGACAACGTGCGGAAAAGGCTGAATACGCCGAGTTTGCATCTGCGCGCAGGAGGCGCCCGAGCATGACGGAGAGGTTCTCTGCCGACGACTTCCAGCCTTTAGCATCAGGAAGCATGTCTGACGCACATGCGACGATAGACGGAGACAACCCTTCGACGTCGCCGCCCTGGCCACCACGCCGGGGCGATGGTTTCGCTTCATTGGCATCTCCTTCGTCAAGCCCGTCAGCGCCCCGGACAGTATGGGGTACCGCGGTGGTTGCTGGCACATCCCCCGTTCTCGGGCCACAAGATCATCACGATGGCGATGATGGATGGCTACAGGGCTGGGAGAAGGATCTGCTTGCCGAGGAAGACATGATTGCCCAAGCACAAGCCATGTCTCTGGGTGAAAGCGAAGAGACGCCGAAGAAGCAGGCTGGCGGGAAGAAGAAGAAGGGAAAGAAGATTACTTTGATGAGTACAAATGTGAGGCGGGGAGCATAGTTAGTTTCGTTCGCATCACTGAGTAGCATGGCGCGAAAGGGAGCAATGAATGTATTTCTGATGTGAATTCCGTCGCGGTTTTCCAGTGATGGCAATGCACTTGTAGTAGGTAGTTCATACATGTACTCACAAAAACAACCCAATCATCTAGAGTCAGCCTTGATGGTGGAAACCACCATCTGTAAACACATTTACAAACCGAGAAATGCCCTGTTACTGTTGCATATCTTCTCTAGATCATACAAGCACCACATGCAGCACTCCCACCCATCTTAATCGGCGGCCTAGAATCTCTCGCTTGTGCAACCCTCCCGACATCTCTACCCCCTCCTCCTCCCGTTCCAGGCCCAGCATTTCCCCGCCCATGCATACCGCCCTGGTAACTATCCGGCGCCGGTGGCGTGGCGCCCGGCCGGTAGAAGGAGGAGGTGTTGCCTGGTGCGCGGTAGGGTGAGCCCCGTGCAGCGGCCCAGGTATCGAGAGAGAAGAGGGTAGTAAGGTAGAGAGCGAGGAAGGTGAAGAGCGTGGATGTCGTGGGTGTTGTGAGAGGAGGGGTGGGTGATCTAGAGTCGTTAGGGGTTGGTGGATGCGATAGATGGGGCGGATGCATTTACTTGTGGCCCTCCATTTCGGGGCGTTTAGGTTGTTCAAATGCGGGGGTTTAATTCGGGCGGCTGGTGCGACTGCGATGGCGGTGGGGAAGGACAGGAGGTGTCGGAATGGTGGGAGAGTCTGTCTGTATTGTGGTCGAGTTGCGCCGTCGCATTGCGGCAGGTTGCCTAGGGCTGATGATGACAGGCATGCGCGGGTGGATCCCGCGAATCGCGCTAGTGCAGGACAAAAAGTAGTATCTGCGACTTCCACTTCGACATCGTAGCACCGACCTGTTCACATCTTTCTGCGACCATGGCGGACCATAGCAAAGTAAGTCATGCTAGGGTTTGGGCAAAATTGGATCCTGACCTTGTGATAGAAGCGCAAAGCGTCGGCATCTGTTGTCGTTCATCAAAACTCTTACGACAACGCCAGTCCTGCCAAGAAGAGAAAGGGCGAAGTTCAAGAACAACATATAGAACACATTGATACTTCCAAACCTACCGCCATCTTTAATCCTACCAAAGGTCGTGACTGGACCGTTACTATTGCCTTGCCCGGTAGCTGGACTCTAAACGCCAAGAAGCCTGATCACAAGACCATCCAAGTCGGACGCATCGCACGCGCAGCCGCCATCTACTGCGTCGATGAAATCGTCGTATATGACGATGACCCAAGTAACGTTGATACCAGAGTTGTGGATCCAAAGTACATACGCAAAGGGCGCACCAAGCAACAAGTTCTCGACTCCATCATGGAACACGACGAAGCCTGGCAGAATCCCGACCAATTCCTCTACCACTTGTTGTCTTATGCCGAGTGTCCTCCCCATCTCCGGTACGATGCCGAGGATCCCCGAATGAGCATCTTCAAGGAGCATCAGAATCTGAAGTGGGTTGGTAATCTGCCCAGTATGGATATGCCGCATCATCTTCGGAGTCACGAGTGGTGTCGGTACCGCGAAGGCGTGTTTGTCGGTCCTGCACCTGCGCCCACACCCAAGAGCAAAAAACCGAAAAAGTCGCCGTCGTCAGACGATCATGAGTACGCATATGTCAAGTGCGGTCTGCCGTACCCAATCCGCGTCCCCGTACCCAAGGAAGCCCCTGTCGAACAAGGCATGCGCACAACCGTCCGCTTTACAGACGCTGAGGAACCTCCCAACTGGCCCCATTTATCGCAGCTGGAATGCGACAATCTAGATGCTACTGCGTGTGCAGCTAGCCTCCCTCGCGAGGAAGGAGGCTACTACTGGGGCTACACCGTCCGACGCGCCCCGTCCATCAGCGCCGTGTTTTCCGATTGCGAATACCCAGATGGCTACGACATGTCGATTGGAACCTCGGAACGTGGTCAGTCGGTTTACTCGCTCTTCTCTGGTCATGCCAACGACGCCGGTAGCGACAGGTCTGCGATAACAACAGTAAAGGCTCCCAATTCTTTCAAACATCTCCTCATTGTATTTGGTGGTCAAGCGGGTATAGAGCCGGCTGTGGCTAATGACCCTGTTCTGGCGGAAAAGGGGCTGGACAAGTCGATGGCTAGTGAGCTTTTTGATGCTTGGGTTAATTTGGTGCCGAAGCAGGGGAGCAGGACGATTAGGACGGAGGAGGCGGTTGTTATTGGGCTGGCGGCGTTGAAGCCTTGGATTGATGGGATGGATGGGGAGTAGGGTGTTTAAAGTGTTGTGTCTATTTCTTCACTTGACGATAAGGATTTGTTGATGTTGCCAGGACTGGGTTGGTTGTTGTACAGGTCTCATGTTCGCAAAGAGAGATGCATGCTTAAGCAGAATCGCAACAATATACTCGAAGAAACATCAAGTGCAATAGATGTGATCATACGGCAAGCATTGTATTTATCGGATTACATTAGCCATGCCCAAGAACGTTGTACGAGATGGCGTCCATCGAACATTGGAATAAGACGAAGAACCCAAAACGTCCACCTAGTCCATCAAAACCAGTCCTCTTGTCCTAATTTCTAGGACGCCAATGAGTCGCCGGCGCCGTTTTGCGTGCAGTAGTGGTTCAACTCGTCACCACCAATGTGGTTCTCCAGCGATTGGCAAAGGTTCAGCTTGCCCACCTCCGTCTGTGTTTTGTTAGTTCTAGCAGATCTGGTAATCATCAATCGACTGCCTTACCATTTTGCAGTCAGGGCACTTGTCCCACTGCTTGTCTCCAGTGTTTCGCTGGAGGTATGCGTCGCAAGCCTTCTTCGTTGCATCGGCGTTGTACACATACTGGCCACCAATCTTGTCGATGCAGAGACCCTCTTTGTGAAGGTCGGCACTGACGAATGAGCCCATGAGGACGAAGAGAGCGGAGACGGCGACTGAGAAACGCATGATGTTTTGAGATTTGAGAGCAGTCAAGTAAAAAAAAAGAGCGTAGGTAACGACAGAAGCGAGTGTGAATAAGTGTGGTGTATATACAAGACTCAAAAGAACGTGAGTTTGGTGACCTTGAAAAGTAAAGGTGCAGAGGCAGGATAAATAGTCAAAAAGACAACATTGATCATAGAACTCATACCCCCCCTTCTCCTACTTTCGTTATCATCACCTGAGCCTGTAACAGCACAGCCAGAATCCTTCGTCCGTTCTCGGTGCAATTGTGGCGAACGTCACTTGTTCGTGAAACGTGGACGGGCCACCACGGTATTAACAAACCACGCAGGAACACGCCGACAAAGCCAACTCTAGTTCTAGTCGGCAGGTGAACCGAACCGCTTACCCAGCAAAGTGTTCTGTTAAGAGTTAGGAACCCAGTACCCCATATTATTGCAGGTGGGTGCCGAGAACCCGGAACCTGTTTGTACGTCATGCGCTTCGGCCCGAAAGAACGAGGCGAGCGTGTTTCTGGTACACAAGGGGGACCACACATGAATTAATCTCGGGTCCCCTTGGCAAGGTCCGCTGCAAGGAACGACTGACTTTGGTTAACGTACAACGTACCGTTGCTAGGCATGAAGGACCTATTCCTAGTTCGAGACAACAAATCACCGGATGACTATGCGGCCAATCAGGCTTGCACATGAATACACTACCTGAATACGAGCACTCCACCACCATTGATCCTTATCATTCCCTGCCAAGTAATTTGTCTACGTGGAATTTCCTGAAAGAATACTGAACTGTGCAGATCATGTCTCAGACTCCAAGTAACGATTAATAGTACCGCCGGGACGGTCAAAGTGGTGCCACACTGCTAGCATGTCTTGACGATAAGTACTGCTAGTCTTCCGGACGACGAGTGTTCATCTCACCAACCTCACAAGTCGCTCATTCACTCTTTTTGTGACAGAATTCCCACATTCGTTGAAACATAATCTGTATATAAAACCCCGCCACAATGCACTTCACTCCTCTCCTCGCCCTCGCTTCCAGCGCCGCTCTGATTGCGGCTGCTCCCGCACCCGTCAACATCGGCATCGATGACGTTATCCTCCACGGCAACGGCCGCTTCACTGTGATGAAGCGATCCGACTTCGAAGAGCTGGAAGCTGCGCGCAAGTCGGGCGTGGTACCTCCCAAGCCCGCCTACCTCGACGCGAACCACTACTCTGGCAACGAGACCGACGTACCGGCCAAGAAGATGCTCAAGCGCGATACCCAAATCATCATTCCCAACCCCAACTCGCGTTTCCTCGGCTGGGACGTGCAGGTGAGCCAGGTGACCAAGGGAGCACCGACCACCATTGCCGTCGCCTCTGGCTTCTCCATTAGCAACACCATTTCCGTCGGCATGAGCAGCACTTTGACGCTGGTCAAGGACTTCCTCCAGGTCGCCATGTCGGTCGACTACAGCCAGTCGTGGCAGACGACGCAGACACAGACTTTTACTGCTACAGTGCCCGAGGGCAAGTACGGCGCTTTCGTGACTAACCCGTGGACCGATCGTGCGAGCGGAAATGTCTGGAGCGGTACTATCGGTGGAGAGGGGGAGCTGTCGTACTACCAGGCTGACTCTTTCACGTCAAAGCAATACGACAGCATGGAATGGGTCGATGGCGTTACTAGCCTCTGCGTAGGCGACACAGTTCCTCTCCCAAGGTGCTTGGGCGAGGGTACCTTGTAGACTTGGGAAATAGCAGGGGGGAGAAGCATGTCGGACTGAGAACACAGGAGAACACGGGAAGTGCTTTTCTTTTTCTTCTCTCTTTTTAAACCAAAGACCTGCATTCATAGTATCGTTCGAGTGGCGCTCCCTGCTATAGACGAGCTATATTGCTAGACTTATCGAGCATTGGATTGTATGGAGAATCTTTGTAGACATGGATCCTAGAAAGATGGTTGTTTTTGTCTATCCGTATACCATTATCTACCGAGATGTGCGTGGGCTTGCTGTGACTTGAGCTCTGGACGCAATTACGAATCTATTTAACGACGTTAAAAACGGTCAGTTTCCTGCCACGCAGGCTGTCAGTCCTCCTGCAAGCATCGTGTTCACGGCATCGATGCTCGCACTACTGGGTCCATTCGTTATCTGACACGGTGGGACGAGGTGACAGTAAGCAAACACTGTATATTTTCAGGGAAGAGATCAAAGTACATGTCGACTGCCACAATCGCGAACCACGATACTCTTAGCTTACGCAAGCTAGATCCTAGGCTTTGAAGCAGCTCTGGAAATGGCAAAATTCCATCGCGGAAAGTGCACATGTATGCCCTTGCTATTTCGGATAACAACTTCATGTACTGTGAGACCAACTAGCGTTCCGGCAGTTTTACCCGTCTGTCCGTAGTCTGAGGGTGAGATCTCGACATCTTCGCCTCGTTTGAACCCGTGAGAATTGTCATCGTCGAAGGTAATCGTTTTTGGTGCGGTAGTGGCGTCAAGAGTTCGCTGCCCCATTGTTTCCCCACCCAGCGCATTGGGCTTTGGTAGCGTCTCCTTCTTCTTATCGAGTTCTGTAACGAATCTCTTCACCCACGCAAACACCTTCGGATATTTCTTGGCATTGAAGTGCTCTGCGGGAAGGCTGTCTTTCATCTTCGGGTCCGACATCAACCATTTGAACGGCCAGACAGCATCGATGTCTGCTAGCGACGGCTCCTGTGTGTTTAGAATCCAGTGTCTGCCATCGGCGAGGAAAGTAGTCTCAAGCAAATCAAAAGCTTGTTGCAAGTGCTGCGCGCCTTCCGGCCGCCCAGCCTCCATGCCTTGGGCAGTGAATCGTCTTCCCATGAGCTTCTGGCGATCATCGATGAATGCTTCATTCGAAAGAAAGCTTGCTTCCTGCCAATATGGCATCATCTTGACAGTATTGGCAAAGATACCGCCATCGATAGTCCAGCTTTCGAAAAGTTTCCTGATACCAACGTCGGCTGGCGTTGACGGCGAAAGGGCGTTGTTAGGGTACAAGGACTCTAGCGTGGAGATGATCAGCCGGGAATCGCAATATACGTCTTTTCCAATAGCCATGATAGGGATCTTCCGATAGCCAACGCCAATGAGCTCAAGGTCTGGACGTGGCATGAATGCAGATTGAATCTGGAAGTCACATGAATAAGCTGATCGCAACTTGGTAGATGACACCCACACATTCGTCATAAGGTATGCCGCGAAGCCACAGATACCATAGCACTCGGTGAGAGAAGATCGAGCCGTCGTAGTGGAACACTATTGGCTTCTCATTAGACGACATGTTGGAAATAGACCGTGAGACTTTTTAAGAACATGGGAACTGTCTCCGCGTTATCGGTACAAGGCAGTTTATCTAGCACGAGTGCGGGACGAGCCGTCTTCCAGTTTGTCAACCCACCTCATGACGTCAAGTCTAACTCGTCCTGATCAATGCTGCGAACCGAGGACCTATCGATGGCGCAAGGCATGGAAACAACCTAGCGGAGTTGTTGCAGTATTGGATGTTGCGACAACGATCGAGTCAGCTGGTGCGAACCATGCCTCGGCACAGTATTCGGCAGGCGATCGAAGTGATCCGCCGTGTGGTCTCTGATTCGCCAGGGATCTATGGTCAGGATCGTGTACCTAGGTAGTACCCACCTTACTGTAGCACCGCATCGTTGATCAACGCAAACTTTTGTATACTCCAGTATCGACACACTGCTCTCTCACTATGGTTTCGTGGGGCTCAAGGCTATGCGAAAGTGTCATGTTGTTTGGCTGCTGCCAGGCATCTTGAATGCCGTGCCGTGCGAGTTACCCAAAAGACAATGTGACAAAACATCGCGCTGGAAATTTCGACCGTTGTTATGAACATGAAGAGGTCGCGTCGCGCATTAATATCAGGCATGATACCTATAGCCGAGCGTGGACGTGAAAGAGACGAAGACCATCTCGTCCGGAAACATCAGCATGGATTTTGGCCGATTCTACGTCGCGACGACGAGAAACATTGCGACCTGCTCATTCGTCTCAGCGATAAATGCGAATGCTGTGATTAAACCCTGCGAGAATATCACCCCAATTGAAACCTCATCTCGAACAAAGGATGTGTATTCATGCTTGATGACATGGCCTCGCGAGGGACCCCTTGTGCAGATCTGGCGTAATGCGGAATTGCTTCCATCAATATGTAAGAGCAACTAGTCATTGGCTAGGTAGATCCGCTGCACCCTTATCCGCCGGTGTCAGCTCCGCCCAAAGGATGCGCCCTATATGACGCCACACAACCAGGATAGCTTATACACCTCAAGAAGGCCGGGTTTTGCCATTCGCTGTCATAACCTTTACTCCTCTTACTCGCTGCTTTTCTTCAAACATGCCCACGATCACACTCTGGTTTCTCTAAGCATCGAGGTGCATACGCACTGCATGGCTATTGGAGGAGCTGGGGCTCGACTACGATGTCAAATTCTCTGACAGAGTGAATGGAAAGGCGCCTGAGGACTTCAAATTGGCATCGGGCAATCCTTTGGGAAAGTTCCCTACCCTTCAAGATGGTGACCTAACTGTTTATGAAAGTGGCGCGATAACTGAGTACGTAGAAAGCGACTATATTGTTGTTGGCATCTGATTCAGATATAGCTACCTGTGCGAGACGTACGACAAGGAGGGTCGTATCCTACCACACGACCCCAAAGGGCGAATCAAGATCCGCCAGTGGACTCACGCTGCAGAAGCCACATTCGCACTCCACGCCCTCGCCATTCTCTACGCGCGATGGCACATCCCCAAAGATGCGCCCGAAGGCCTTCTTGAATCCACCGAGAAGAATATGTCGGCTAATGTGCAGAACGACATGTCTTGGCTCGAAACTGAATTGTCGCTCTCGTCAGGCAAGTTTATCTGCGGCGATCATGTCACCGCCGCGGACACCATGATGCAGTTCTCAGCCGAGTTCATCGTTGCGAGGGAGCTTGGGATAAAGGGCAAGGAGTATCCGAATGTTAATAAGTGGTTGGATGCTTGTAGAGAGACCGAAAGCTACCAACGTGCGTTGAAGAAGACGGGACATAAGATCTAAGGACTTCATAGTGAAGAGAGATGCGGTCTAGCAGCGAAAGCACTCCAGCTTCTTATACAATGGTGAACTTCTGCCTGTTGTTCCAATTTACAACTCGTGGAGCTTCCATCAAATGATCGATCGCTGGATTACCCAAATCTACAGTTAGTGGGCGATAACGATCGTCCTCTATATGCTGTTGCCAATGGTTGAAGTACACGTGTCGATTCATTGGGATCCAAGACAGACAGGCGATGATTCTGTGTTCGTCGTTTCCAACTGGACGCAAGAGCCATAGGCCCCCACATGTGTACTCACGGGACACTTCGCTTCCTTCGTGAAGTCGGTGACAAAGTAGTTTCTGTTCGAGTTCGGAACCCAAGACATCTGGCATATAAACCACAATATCGTCACCATTGGTATCGCACGAGAGTTGCCACCGGCGCTTATCTTTCAGATGTCGCCTTCGTTCCCAGATGTAGTTGTTACTAACATAGAACCTCGTGTCTACAATTCCATGAAGGACGATCTTTCTCCAAGACATTGTACGGCGCGTATTTTGCTCCCGAATGGAAGTCTTTAGGCTACTTGTAGACGAAGACGGTATTTCCAAAGACCCACGTGTCGAAACGGATCTATGACCAAAAATTGTTTTCTTTTCCACTCGTTGTCTACGGAAGCATCGTGCAGTGATGTGCCAATCTATGGCCCAGGAAGGAAGTGTAGGGTTCTCTTCCTTTGCATCCAGTATCTTGAACTTGGCTATTAGTGCAAGACCTTCCGTCATGAGTGTAACCCATGTAACAGCCGATGTAACAGCGTCCCAAGTGGTCGAATAGTCGATAGGGATGAAAAGTGATGACTTCCTTGCTTCTTCCCATTCCTTGATTGACATCGACTTTGACGGGTAGCTTGTGAGGCCGAGAATACCGTAAACGTAATCTCGCGTGTCTGTCGATTCAAGCCTTCCTGTGTATAAGAGTGTATCGATGAGATATGGGCGCTCTTCCTGCTTCTGTCGAAAACTATCAAAGCAGCTTAGTTCATTGGCATGGAGATCGACGATTTCGGAGATAAGTGGAGTCTGATCTTCACGAATATGCGGAAGCGTGTACAATAGATCAGGTTGTGATAACAATCCCCTCCATTCGAAATTTCTCCGTCCACTTTGCAGTCTCAGCTCCCTTGCGGCAAAAACCTCCTGTTGTATCCATATACGCTTGAAATAGGTGAAGGAGTAGACTAAACGCATGGTAGTACAGATCTCCTCGATGTCACGAGAATTTCGGCGTTGACCATGACTACCCGATCCAATATAGTCCGGAAAATACTCAATATATGTCTCTTCCCAACTTGAGACCCTTTGGAGGTTCATGGATGGAGAAAACGTAAAGCCACCCTCTGACAGGACACCCGTCAAGTCTCGGTTGCTTAGAGGACCTAGCCAAGCGATCACTCTAACAGCTTTCTCGTAGATTGTCAACATGTTGCGCACTTGGAAAGCCTTCTCCGCCGAATCGTTCTGGTTGATACAAATTGCGTCTACCCATAAGTAGCGATCCTCATCGATATCTTCTCGTAGCGCCATGAGGGCCTCGAATAGATTCTTTGTGACTGAAAGTGGCACATTGTTACACGTAATTTGCTTCAAGCCTTCCTGGCTTCCCCATACATACAAGAGAGCTTCGAAGCTTTTCAAGTGACTCTTGTCTGTATCACATGAACGTACACCAAGGCCCTCGAAAGACGGATGCAGTATGTTTGCATCATAGAGCGTACATATTAGCTCGCTTTCCAAGTCGTAATTGGCGCCATGAAGACACAGAAGTCTTGTCTGGTAGGGAGCTAGGGCTGTATACAGCGCAGATTTTATATCCATATCGAGTGGTAATGGCATCGACGTCGGATAGTATGGTGATTGAAGAGCGATGTTGATGTTAGTGCTGAGAAAGCGGGGCATAATCCTTAGATGCATTGAGGTGATAGTGACACCATCCCACCTTGAGCACCCCTGTCACAACCCCCAAATTCTGCCTCGCGCACCGTGCAAAATCCTGTTCAAGACCCAGATGGTCTTGTAGTCAGCGTTTGGGTACCGGTCGGCAGGTACGATGCAATTTAGCTGCTAGATTTTGTAAGTTTCACAAAGCACAATGCTAGCTCTTACTACCTAGCAGAAGTGGAGCGTAAAATTGAAATCAGAAATCAATTTGATTGCCTCGCTACTATACAACTATAAGCTCCAGGATGTAGGTGTTGGACATGGTCACTCATGTCAAACTACTGATCGTCTTTGACTCCCACCATTGCCAATGAATCCTTCCAAAGTCTCGCTTCGGCTTCAGCGTCGTAAGCATGGCCTGCAAAGCCCACACCTGCGATCTCATGTTTGTCATTACCGCGGGTAGTCTTTCCGCACTCGGCAAGGTACTCTCCGCCTTTGTTTTCCCATTCCTTTCCGATCGCAGCCCACACTGTCGTAGCGGCGCCCTGCTCAGGCGACTTCATCGTCTTGTACACCTCCTGGTTGCCCTGGAAGCCTTCAACGATCTTGGGGTCCATGTATTGCATAAGTCCCGTTGCAATCATACCAGGGTGAACACTGGTTGCGTGAAGCCCCTTAGATCCGTATCGCCTCTCGATCTCGTTGGTCATGTAGATGTTGGCAGTCTTAGCTTGCCCATAAGCAACCCAGTCGTTGTATTCAGTCTTCTCAAAGTTGTAGTTTCCAGACTCGTTGATCGAGGCGACGTGATGGGCTGAAGAAGAGAGATTGACAACTCGAGAAGAAAGCTCAGGGGTGGCGCTAGCAAGGAGAGCTGGCTTCAAAAGTTCGAACAGTAGGAAATGTGCGAGGTGATTGACCCCAAACTGCATTTCAAATCCGTCCTTGGTCTTTTCGAGATTCTGAATGGCCATAATACCAGCGTTGTTGATAAGGATGTTGACTTGGTTGTTCGACTTCTCCAGGATATCTTTTGCTGCGCGGCGCACGCTTTCTAGGGAGGTGTTATCCATCTCGACGAGCTCAACGCGTCCTGGCTCGAGAATGCCATCCAGGGCGGTCTTAGCTTTTTCGAGGTTTCGTGCAGTCAACAGCAGCTTTGCTCCTGTGAGCTTAAGGACACGGGCAGTCTCGATTCCAATTCCAGAAGAAGTGCCAGTAATCACTATGACTTTTCCAGCCAACTTGCCCTCTACTCCTTCGTCCTTGATGATCTGGAGAGCGGTTGGGCGAGCATCTCCTGGACCAGCGGGGTTGGCGTGGGCTTCAGCGTATCGAGACATTGTGGTTTAAGAATAACTTAAAGTTCTTGGGATGGGAAGTGATGGTAGTGAAGATGGTGATGATGAGGATTTGTGATTCATCTTTCGGATAGAGCCACCAACTCTTTATACTCGTGTCTTCACTTAGGACCTGGAACGTTGCTAGGAGCGCTTATCTCTCTTACACGCGGTCGGACAAACAGATGTCCGTTAGTCACGGTCCGTGGTAGAAGAAATCCAGGATTACAACGGATGTAGTGTCGGTGTTAAAAAGATTAGTCATTCCAAAGATTTGAGGGTTTAGCATCAAAACAAGTCCCCTCCCCCAGATTTGCACTTTCGCTTACATTTTTCCCCTTTTGAGCATGTAAATTCGCCAAGACAAGGTCGGGTCGGCCCGAATAGAGTTCCGGCTCAGGAACGTCGCTTATTGATGCAGGGTTCATTTTTGCACATTGAATTCGGCTTTAAACCCACGACCTACAGTAAGGATAGGACGGACCATCCGAGCAATGCGGAGGAACGCGTGTCGGGTTGCAAGTCTTAAGATCTCGCCTTCAATTTTCACTGTGCGCAATGATTGCGTGCAGTACATGTAATCGATAGGAATGACTTTGTATCTCTAGGTTTGCTAAAGGCCTAAGTTTTGTTGGGCAAGAGTTATTGGTCTTGTGCCTTCAGAAACGGCCTAGTCAAAAAGTTCTAGTTGTATTTCGCTATAAGCTATCATCTGGTGATATATGACCAACAATGTCAAATTCAAGTTCGTACGACACGGTACAAGGTCCACAGCTTTTTATTTACCGGGATTCTTGCATGACATTTTATATACTTGTTGGATCTCAAGCTGACTTCGCTCCTTCAGTAGCCGTATTTCGCTTCTGCAGTTCCTGGTGCTCCATACTTCGGATCCGCCGCATCTTGAACAGAAACGTGCGGTAATATCGCCCTCTCGTTGCTTGGAAACTTCGTGTAACCTTCGCCCCTGACGAACGTTGCCAATGTCTCACTTCGACCTTCCTTCTCTGCTAACTCCAAAAAGTATTCTGCGTGCGCAGGCCCCGAGACATGAAACATCGCCTTTCCCACTGGTGTACGCTCGTCGACATAGTAAAAACGGCATCCCTTTGAAGCCAGGCTAGAGGAGGCAGCCAATGTCTGGATCATGTACCAAGCACTCGTTTTACCAATACCGAGCATGAGAAACATGGGTGTGACCTGAGAAATTAAGCACGTTGCTATCTTCGCAAAGACATGTTCACGACTTACCAGTGTGTTTCCATTGTTACCGGTATAGATGAAGGTCTTTTTTACATCCTTAGGAAGCTTGCCGAAACCGGCTACTGCAGCTTGCGCAGCAGCGTACGCGCTCACACTATTGATTGCAAGATCTTTCTGGAAATCCTGGAGCGGCGCCGAGACTGGGTTCTCAGGATCAGGACCCATTGACCAGGAGTAAGCTGGTTCAACGTAAGCTCTTCATACAAGCCTGTGTGTGAAGGGAAGCTCTGCGTAATGCAATCTGTATCCTGAGTGTGTATAGAATTCATCACTTACGGTTGTAAACCACAACATTAGGGACTCCTAACTTCTGTTCGACTTTCTCGAAGATCTGCCCCATCACGCTTGGGTCGCTGAAATCAGCAGTCAGACAAATGTCTGCATTCGCCTCGATATCTGGTTTGATCGTGCGAGCCACCGCGGCAATCTTGTATCCTTTAGTCTTGAACAGCGATAATGTCGCAGCTCCAACGTTTGGTCCTGCGCCGAGGAAGAGAAGTGTCTTTTGGGCCATGGTAACAACAGTGAGCAGTAGAATGCTGGTAAGCAGATGTTTATAAGGTTGCATACAAACAAGACAAGAGAAGATGAATGAGTGGACAACTTTAAAGGTGGCCAGCGAGCATGCTTGTCTATCTTTATATCAATTTGGCTACATACAACAATTATCGTACAAGATTTGTAACCAGGTTCAGGGTTGTACGAGGATGTGTAGTGTGCCTCTATGTCGGCTGGTAACTAAGCTCAGGATTATAAAGCATAGCGAAATGATCTCCAATGTACAACCAGAAGGTACGGTACTGGTTGTGAGACTCAAGCGGTCAACATCAGGATCGGCGGGACGAAACCGGACCTGTCGGGTCCTAACCGCTGGTATGATCTATCGACTCTTGGCGAACGTCGTTGCCGCGAACAGAATAGCGTGAATGCTATAGGGCGTCTTGACAAATGCACTAAGCTCGAGCAGGTCAAGTTCGAAATGGAGCCACCAGAATCGCCCTGTTTTCTAACTCGTGGAGTTGTCGTTCTTACGACAGGATATACTAAATGAAAGTATATGTGTACGCATTTGATGAATTTATGCGAAGAGTGGGTTCAGTTACCATCGGTTTCACGCTGGAAGACCTAGGTACTTTGTAGATGTTCACCATTTCACACGTAGGCCATCGAAGCTCATCGGCATTGGAGGAAAGTCAGCAGATAGACCATCTTTGCCGATGTACTTCTCCTTGAGCAAGAGGCAAGTCGAGCATAGGCGCTCTCCGACTGAGTGTTCACCGAGCCACATCTTGCCTTGAGCGCTGTAGAGCAAAGTCGCGATGTCGGTGAACATGCTCGATGTTGGAGCGATTTGGAGGTCTTCATCGTGGAAAACGTGTGGCTGGGCGTCGAAGAACTCGTCGTCCTCATGCGTATCGTTGTTGTCGTTGTCGCTGTCTGTTTGTATCATTCCGGTGTACTCCGAAAGTTCGTCCGATATTATGGGGGCTTTCTGCACTTTGTCGCAGTCACAGTTCGCGTTGTGACCCGATTTGACGCATTCTGTAACAGCTATACGCGCAGGTTCAACCAACCCGCAAGCAAATGTGTTATAGTCGTCCCTGCAGTGCGTACATGCAGTTCTTGGTAGCTTTCCAGAACTGTTGTTGTGCGAGAGATTGTTGGCCCGGGTCAGTGCACGGATAAACGCTCCTTGCGCCATACCAAGTTCGCATAAGAAGAGATCAAGCTCTTCCCGCATATAAGTCTTGACTTGCTCGATGCAGTCTAGGAGGGCAGTGCACCAAGCTGAGTAGATACTCGGCAAGGCTTGCAGAAACTGCCTATGTGTTAAATTGTCCTCCATCCAATCAAAGCCTTTCATCTGCAAGAACGAGCCGGCATTCACTATCATCGGCAGGAGTACTCGACCGCTTACCCGTAGAGCAAGCCAAGAGCCTAGAGCGTCCAGGTGTCGCTTACTGACCTTCGAACGTTCCTCTCTAGAAGGACAAAGAACGTGCTCGAGGTAGTTGCTGTGCCGTGCATGGTTGGAAACAGATCTCATCGCGTGTTGTAGGGCGGACCAGATATTGCGCGCACTGAATTCGACATACTCTTCATTCACGGTGAGATGAAGTAGCCACGTGATACTGTTCCGTGAGATTGGCACTCGTTCCCTCGCGTATGCTCGCTTGAGCCAGTCGTGAACGGACGAACCGTCGCTGTCAGCATCGGCTATATTAATGCATTCGCAGAACAGTCTGAGCATGGCGATCTTGGTATCAGCATGCTCATCTGTACAAGATGATACGAAAAGCGATATTGGGGATCTAATTTTTTCAGCAGAGGTTCCATCACTTGACATTGAGAACTTACAAGATAGCGTCAGAAGGCCCTTCATACACTAGTGCAGACTTGTCTGCGCCTCCCTTGATCAGTAAAGCGCAGAGATCGACGTGACCTGCTGCGGCAGCGAACTAGCTAAATCAGTATCTCTATCACGCGAGAGTCTATGATGCAGGCGTAGCAACTTACATGCAGTGGTTTCCACCCTTTCGGGCTTGTGTCGACTACGCTTGCCATTACTTTCTCCGAAAGTGCTTCTACAGCATGAGTCTGGCCGGTGCGACAAAGCTCGAAGATGAGTGCGTCGTTAGGAACAGGGCGGGTCACTGTTATGTTACAGTTGAAGAGCCAGCCCCGACCTCCAGATGCCACAACAGCTTCGAGGCCATTTTGAATACACATGTACTGTAGCCATCTTGTAGGATATAAGATCAGGGATCTGATGATCTGTAACTTCCTTTGTCATTTGGAAGATTCGTTGTCGTGGTGAAGAGTAGTTCTACGTAACCAAGCACAACCGAGTGCAGTCCGAAAAGTCGATACATGGTGGTTTACGTGATACCGCAGGTTTTCAGCATAGACGAAAGTCTTGGTCCACAACTGTCCACATGCATCAATTGTATAGCCATCTTGTGCAAATATCTCCATGGACGTTGATTCAAAGGTGGTGACTGCGGTTTGTGCGATAGCGTGTAACATGAGCTCCTGTACTTTGTAATCAATCGACGGATGCTTGATTAGCATTTCGCCCAAAGGTTGCAGTGTTGCAGTGTTGCAGTGTTTGGAGACTTCACATGGCGAAGAGAACGCTGGCCAACGTATTTCGAGGGGACGCTTTGCACTGCTATCCAACCAGAAGCGTCGTCGATTTCGGTTAAACGAAGCGAATCTTTTCGGGCAGCTTTAACGGTTCCGTACCGCTCGATCTCGTCGTGTACCTTTACTTTTGTTGGAAGACGAGAAGAGAGAGATTGGATCACGCTTAGTATGCATAGTCAGCTATCGACTCTTGATGTGTATTACATCTAATCGTACCTTTCATGGGCCAAATCTAATGTTAGTGTCGACTTCGCATCATTCAGCGAGTGGCGAAATCGCTGGATATGTTTGCTGTGAAGGGAAGCTTTGAAGGCTGTACGTACTCGTTTCCTTCGCGACAGCGATTGGAAACCATTGTCAAATCTTCCAACAATAAGTGTCAAATCCTAGAATGATCAGCTACAACCTGTATCACCATTCGAAACACTTACTGCAATTTTGGCTCGGCAGTGTTGTACTCCTTCTGCTAAACAACTGCCAAGAGGGTTGTTGTGAGATTCCACCCTCTTGAAGACCGAGATGAGATAGCGCTGATCCTTATTGATGGCTGCAACCTCCCCAGGGGCAGCTTCCACCGTCTCCCAGAAAGTGTGGAGTTTGATACACGCTTCGGTAAGCTGAAATGCTACAGATATGAGAGCGAGGCCTGTATTGAATCAGCAAAGGATAATTGAGTCAGGTATTGGAAACTACCATTCGCCGCGACGGAAAGTCCTTCCATATTCACTGCAGTCTGATGCCATCGCAATAGTGGTTCGATCGGAGCTTATATCCTAATGATCTTGCTGAGGTATAGCAAAGGGGTAAGTATCACTCGCATCTTAGCATCGTGGCTGCGCTAAGGCAGGCTCAATGACTTCCCTACAGGTTGCCTTATGCTTCGCTCTCACGAGATCCGTGCAGCTTACGCGCTTCTGCACTTTCCACGTGGTCATAGCTGGGGAACGGAATAGCAGCCTTGCATATCGATATCCGTGGGATGTTACCGCGATTGCGCAAGGCACGACTGTAGCACTGACCAACTGTCCCATCTTCTCTCAGGTCGTGCTATCTTCATGCTTCAATGCTCTGCAAAACCCTTCTGCAAACTCAACGCAACTTCGATGTTCGGATGCCAGCTGGTGAATGATGTCAAAGTTCAGGAGGCTGGGCTGATCGACGCTTCATCGCGCTACGCTGCCGCCCCCACATTATCCATTTGCGGGCGCAGTCACCATAGAACGGGTGCAAGTCTCCGTGGCGTGTTTCAAGAAGCTCTGGAAGACGACGGCAGCATGAAATAGGTCTGAGGCATTGCGTAGCGAGCCAACTTTGATAAGGTGAACGAGAGCTGAATGGGTGGAGGCACGGGAAAGGCCAGCGGGCTAGCAACAAGGGGGGAAGCGACCCGCATTTGTTGAGAACAGCCCCATCTCGGTGGGACCTATCATCAACCCCATCCAACGGACATCAACACCAAAGAGTCATGGCCGTGCTTCGACGTATCTGCCATCTGAAACATCGCTACAACTTGCGTTGACCCCTATGCATCCGCGGACGCGACATCAACACTGAATATCCCTATGCAACACGGGCTGGGCCAGCCGTAGCAGATGCGAGAAGTTGCGGTGTTATTGTCAACTCGCGGCTCAAGATGAATATCCCAGATGCAAGAGCTATCATTGCGGAACAATCATTTTCCTCCTTCGAAAGTGGTAGTCATCGATTTCGAGCATCACATACGCACAAGGAAAGGGTACTAACAACGCTCAGACCTATGGAAGAACTCGTTAAATGCACATACCAATGGTACCTTATCATTAGCACGATCCTGCAGGCACGACTTGGAGCAATGCAATAAGGAGAACCAGAGGAAGTCCTAGCTGGCCATGGTTCGGGGCTCACCAGCCCCACCCCCACGTCTCTGAACCAATACTTATTTTTAGTAGCTACTATCAGCCTAATCAGACAGTTTAGACACTCTTTCGACTTGGTCAAAGACGCCTTAGACACTCATGTGTCTCTACAATGAATTTGGTAGATCATTCGTTTGATCGCTATCATCCTCCCGATGAAGACGACACGCGCAAGACATAGGGCTGGAACTTCGGAGCACAGCGTCGACGATAGTCCAACACAACATCCAAGAACCGTGCTTTCTGTCCCAGCATTGTCATCATCTGCGACAGGGGCTACTTATGTTAGCAGAGACGCCATCTCGGAGCATGATTCGCGCTCTATACTCCAATTGTCCATGTCACGTTTGGGATCCGGATGGCCTCAGTGTAACAAACTCAATGATATGCTGGCTATAAGCCCGGTCTCACGAACGCCTCCAATAAAACTCAAGGAGGCTACGAAATCATGATATCAACAAGAGCATGTCTTTCTTCCCTCACGCTCTGTTCAATCTCCCCATCCATGATCCCATAAACGAAACACTCGCCAAGTATCTCGTATTTGAGACGTCCTGGCTTTTGCTGCCACCGTGGTCGCTGAATAAGAGGCACAGCGCAGCCTCCGATGACTGCTATGATATCGCCTTTCTGAATAAAATGAGGCCTTATTCCAACGTAACCCGAAGCGGTTGAAACCAATCGTCTGTTCCACAGAAACCTGTCAACCCGCCCTGCAGCTTCATTGTATGTCGTCGGGTCCTTTTGTAAGATACCCATGCTCCCGAGATATGATGACAGTGGTTTGCCTTTGATTTTCATCTTTGCGTTCCTTATCCGCCAGAGATGAAGATTGTATTGAACCTCATCAATGGTTCTGTTACTGGTAGGATCGGATGATAGACATGATGTGTCGAGGATAGCGATATCAAGTACGCAAGCATACTTTCGAGGTGCTCGGTCGCCTTCATAATTTCGGTCGCCTACCAAAGCCCTCCAGATAGCTTCTTCATGGTCTGCGTCTGCTCCATACGGGTTTCCATGGGACTCTGGTCCTAAGAAATCTACAAGCTCACCGGAATCATCATTCCAATGACGCCGCCCACTGAACCCATCGATCTTGTCGACAATCACACCGCGTACGATGAGGTCGGTATCTTGAAAGCAATAGCACGCTTTCATGTCTCCGTTCGCGCGATAACGACAGTGGTAGTTGCTTGTCAGCTGCTTGATCTCTTTCGACAGATTGACAACCCACGAACAATCCAGCGCTTCTTTACGTTGGTAATGATCGCCATAGCCATCGCAATGACCGAGAAGATTCAAATCATCCATGGTTTCGATCCATTTCCTAGTGAAATCTGCATATACTGTCTGAAGGTCGTGTTCGTAGTTCGCAACGATTTGCGACGCAAGGTCGTCTCTGAGGAGGGCCAGCATTCCATAAACCTTGTCTTGTGGCCGTTGGCATTTTGCTATGCGACAACGGGTGATGAGGCACCTTTGGTAGTGGTCGGTCTGCCTCGCTCTTAGGTCCTGAAGTCCATGGTAATCGTCAAGGACTTTCCAGTGATAGTTTGGTACGCGTTCGTGAGCACTCTTGACATCATCGTGGCCCAAAATTACGCCTCTGAGAATGTCTTTGAACCTATCGTCCTCCAAGTCACGTTCAAGAATTCTGAGGCATTGGTAAACCTTCCGCATGCGTCCCCATGTCGTGACCTTCCTACCGCACAAAACCAGACTCCGGTCGCAACTCATCGCTCATTCCTGCATGATCCACAGACGCGAAAAATACGGTCGATATACAACGTCCTTTAGACTTTCCCATACTGTACATAGACGTTTGCAAGTTGACATGTATCCCAGGAACTTAGTCGTAGCTTCAAGACTCCGCTCACGAGCCTCGCATACCCCATTGATGAAATCGAACGCTTCGTCACTGCCGGCGGTGGCATCTCCCAGCCACTTGACCACACACCAACTCTTTTGATATATTTCCCCCATTCTAGGGACCAGCCGGCTCTTCTCTTTGGGATCTCCTTGGTTGATGCACATCGCATCTGCCCACACCATGCACCCTCTCTTCACAACGTCAGTCTCGCGCAATGCTTCCAAGGCGTTTTTGAGGTTTCTTTGTACTGTGGTCGCGATGCCATTGACATAGATTGATTCTTTGTCATCGTGGCTACCCCAGGTGTAACTCAAAGCGACGAAGGCGGTTTCCCGGTCTTGTGGAGAGAAGGTCGATGATACGCGACAGTTGTGAAAGGTGCGATGATGAAGCCCACAATGCACGCCGTCTTCTGGATGAGGACCTTGTCTCGCTTGAGACTCAACTCCTGATAGGCTATCAAGTGGCTGTCGGATTGATAACAAACGGATCTCTCTATCACCAAGTGGTTGATACTCCATGTTGTGGATAATTGTAGCACATGTTATTTTGTCGGCTGCGCAACACTATAACAGTTGACATTCATAGCACAAAGCCCCAAAACAGACTTGCAGTTGATCTCGAGGCATGATGCTGATATCGCTTCACAGAATGCTATTGGCTGAATTTATGTCAGATTCGCAAGTCCTCGTCTTGTCCCTTGAACGAATATCCTGTAAAGGCGAAGACACCTGGTTCGTTGCTCGAGCATGATTCGCCAGCCTCACCAAGAAAACCAACACCGGTGAGCCTGATGCGGTGATGCATGCAGCCGTTCGAAGAGAATGCTCATGACATGCTAGACAGTTGTACTTACGCCTTCATATATACTGGCTGTGTTGTTCGAAGGTGATTGGGAGGAGTTGACCGTTGGCTACGCAGCTATCAAGAACAACCCTGACTATCTCACATCTATCTGTGCAGGACAGACCACTATGCTGAGATGTCTGCGGGACCCAAATTATGATCTGCCCAAGTAATCCTAGAACTACGACGCTTTAGAAACCGTTAGTCGTTGGTGGCGTTATGTTATAGACATGAAGACGACGCTTCTAGTTGTCGATCAGTTTTACGTCGCACACTGTTCGCACAATATGTCCTTGAGAATCGAAATCCATTACGCCGGTTACACGCAGTAAGATCTGTATGTGAATATTCGTGAGAGCTATATCCTTTACAGAGTCGCCAGCCATTCCTCCAACGTCTCATTAACCTCCTTCGGCTTCTCCAAATGCACCCAATGCGCCGCCTCAATCGTCTTGTATGTTAAATTCTTTACATACTGCTTCTGCATCTCAGCCATTTTTGGTGCCGTGCTAGGCGAGCACACAGCGTCCAACTTCGCATCAATGAACAGGAATGGAAATTCCAACACACCACCATTCTTCTCGCTCTTGGCATACTCGGCGTTGGCTTTGTGGTTCAAGTAGTACGCGTTCGCACCAAAGAAGCCATGCTTCTTCTTGCTCCTGAGCAGGCTTGAGTAAAGAGACTCATCGAGCGATGTGTATTCGAGCGGGATGTCGGGAAGCTGCTCTGGGTGTCCACCAAACCAACCGCCATCTCTCAAGACCCGACTCGTGGGTGATGGCTGTCCCCACTTGCTAGGGTCACCCTTTACGTATAGAATCTTAGTGACAACTTCCAGGTGGCCGTCAAAGGCCTTGACACTCTCTTCGGGGTGCAGCTCGTAGTATCTCATGTACTCCCATTGACCCCATTCGGTCTCGCTCTCAGGGTAGATGTCGCGGTTTATCGTGGTCTTGATGTAGTCCAAGCCGAGCTCTAAGCTCCGGTAGGGTACACAGAGGTTGGCCTGAGCGATGAAGAGCTCGGGGTAGTGAGCGGAGAGCGCGTTGATGAGGCATCCCCAGTCGTGACCGATCCATACTGCCTTCTTGATGCCAAGTTGCTCGGCAAACTCGACGAGCTCTGGGACAAGGACCTCAAGGGCGTAGGATTCCTTCTTGCGGGGAGCAGTAGAATCGCCATAGCCGCGCATGTCGGGCGCGATCACACGGTACTTTCCCCCAGCAGCGAAGTGCGTGAGCTGGTGCTTCCACGACTCTGCGATATCCGGCCAGCCATGGATGAAGATGAGGGGTATGCCGTCCTTTGATCCTCCTTCGTAGTAGTGGGTGACTTCGCCGTTCTTGTGAGTGATGTCGCCTGCGGTGAATGAATCCATGATGAGAGCTGGTAGAATTGTTTTGTCGAAACTCGAATAAATGTTGACACGTACTCAAGGTATGTATACTGGTTGAGAAAAGGGCCGATGAAGGCTCGTGCGATACTAACTTTCTTGTACCTCGGCATGCCCACTTCAAAGTGGAGCTTACGCTGGTCATAGCTATCCGCCAAGCCCATGCGTTGTAACATATTTCAAGGGTTGCATGGTCAATGTGGATCACAAATCCGATTATCATGTGTAAAGCGTAAGCGATCCAGGCTCCCATAGAGTTCAGCTACTAAAGGCAGACCGCCGAAATACTTTACCGCGGAATGCGAAACTTGTCCGAGGTCCGTGTGGGGCCATCCAATGTTGGTATGATGGTTACGCGTCTCTATAGTAGCGTCCATGTAGGATCAGCTTTTGGTGTCGCTGTTGAGGTATCAGACATCGGGATGAGTTTAAACGATAGCATACTCGGAACAGCCTTCTGCGGCATCGAAGACCCAGTTCTGCGGATCCTCAAGGGTTGGCTGATCTTTTTGCGATTACCAAAACTCTGTGTATTCAGCGCTACGTTCTGATACATAAGCCATATTGACCATACGATAGGTGGAATCTCCTTGAACTGGTCGCAGAATGAAGGGCATCCCGCGTTCAAACAGAGCGACAATTATATCACCTGCTCGTATCTCGAAAGTGTTGTTGAGCCACGTGGCTCCGACATCGCCCTTCTCGGTGAGAAACACCGCTGTGTTGTATATAACATCCTCATAGAATCCAATTTCAGGCGTGAACTCATTTCGAGGACCTAGTAAAGATGACACAAATTCTTCAAGGTCGCAGTAGGTACTGAGCCTCGTATCAAGCGCCTCGTATAGCCGACTTGGCGATATACCCTTCGGCTTCAACACTCGATGGTAGAAGTCGTATAGACCAGCTGCCAATTCGTTCATGGGAACTTGCCGTGACTCCATCAGAATAACGTCAGTTGACAACACGAAGATTTCTTTGATGGTCCCAACATATAATCCATGTTTATAAAGCGTTCGAAAGTCCTCTGACAGGCGTAGTGATTTTCGTCGACGCTCAATCCCCTCTGAATCTAGCTTGTGTCCAAAGTAATGAAAGTTATCCGGGGCTGAAATATCGTTTTCGAGCCGATAGGAGAAGTACAGCACCCACGAAGACGTATGATAGCATTCTTTGGGCTTATCGGCTGGGGGAAAAGCGAAATCGACGGTCATGTAAGGGAATTTTCCATCTTCTGAGATCATAACTATCGTCGCTTCGGCGATGACTTGTGGCCACGTCTTCGAATAATCGGGAATTATGGGCTCAGCCACGTATGGTTTGACGATTCCGAGCAGACCGTAGACTCTGTCTCGTGGGTCTGTAGCTATGGCGTGTCGTGACAACGCCAAGTACTCATACAGGCTTGCTTCACCTCTAGTGCGAAAACAAACCCGTCTCTGAATGTAGTATAACATCATAAAATGCGTATATGGTTGATCCATTTGTTTGTTCTCGGATACGTCTGAGGCTGAGTTTTCCCCATGCATGTCCACACATTCTCTCGTGGTATCGAGAAACGTGATCCATTCGATTTGAAGATTGCCAAGTATGACCATTGGATCACATGAGGCCAATAAGAACTCTTGAATAATCCAAAGGCGCCGAAACCAGGGTAGTTTACTAACCTCGATAGTGTGCCAACACACGTGCTCAGAAGGCAATATAAGATCTTGTTCTCTTCGCGATGAATCGGACCAGCGACCTAGCCATTCTATCCACATGTATTAACATCTTTCGAAGTGTGAGCAAGTATCGAGATCCGGCCATTCGCCCAGCCATATGACCACCCGTTCCGCCGACTTGTAGATCATACCCATTTGCTGAACCTGATGCAATCTCTCCCGCACATCGTTCTAGTTGACGCATAGCGCGTCTGCCCATAGCGTGCGAGGCTCATCCATAAGTCGCAGGCGTCTGAGTCCTAAGTTAAGGCTCTCCTGTAGCGGTATTGGGAAGCCGTTGACGATGGCCCGATTCGAGCTAGGTATGGTACCCCATGCGTATGGAAGTGCTTCGTACTAGGGTTCGTCGCCGAGGTTTTTCGTGTGGAGGTTCATTTGAATCACATCGCTGCGGCGCCCTGGTAACAGTTCGACCAGCCGGATATCCCCATTCTCTGAGTCAATGGGTTGGTACGCAAGTGCGCCAAGTCTCAGAAGCGAGCAATCCCGTTCTTCAGGTCTTGAGCGCAAGGGTGATTGTAGGGGCGGGAGTATGACTGCTTGCGAGGTGTCCATGACGCTGGGTTGCACGCTGATATCGCGGTTCGGTCGAATCGTCGCTCGTTGGGTGTGAATTACAGGCTATACATGTCAACAGCAGCGCGCGTATTGGTTTGGAAGGTTAAGGTAGCATGGTAGTTTCAAGTTACTAGAGACGCGACATTGGAGTTGACGCGCGACGAAGGTTACGGGCGTCTCGAACATTCGGGTCGACTGTTGTTTAGGCAGCCACAAGGCTGAGCATCTACAACGTGTAGAAGCCCCATTGGATTGGTCAACAGGAGGCGCAATGAGTGGCGCATGACTATGCATCGGCACCAAGGACCTAGGAGTCGTCCTGTAGCGCGATCTGTCATCGCGTGTGCGAGTAGTTATAGTTGTAGTCGCAGCACTGGGGGCGCGTCGGCGCGACTCGACCTTGCGGGGCTTGCAGAACATCGGACGGTAAGGCCGACGTCACCATCAACTCATCTCAACATCCCATCCGCATTCACCACCATGACACATTCATGTTCAAGCTCGCGCACTCTCTTACCGAAGGATTCAGTATGAAGCTCGATTTGGCAGTCGTCGGTCGCCTCGGCCCAAACCTGGACAAAACGAGAGCCTTCTCTGCAGGTGGAGGCGGCTCGAGCTCCGCATCGACGTGAAGGATTACGTTGCGACCAGACGATGGCACGGACAAGACCTTCTTCAGTTTGGGGGCAGGAAAGCGAACATAGATCTCGTCGGTACTAGCACAAATGAGACAGAGTGTGCAATGTTCGATTCATTGGCTTATCATGTACACGAAGAGATTGAAAGCGGCATTAAGAGATGGTCGATGGTTTTGGTGAGGGTTGCTTAAAACAGTACGATGAGCTCCATTCTATCACAATGCCGTTCGTAGGCTCGCACGTTCTCGTGCGACAAAATTTGCGACAAAATTCGAATCTTCGCCCTACTCTCCCTTTTTTACAGGATACTTTGCGCAGAGCTTTCTCATCCTTGCTATGCTCTCCCCCCTGTACTCGCCACCAAAAAGCGCACAGTGATTCAACTGATGATACAACATATACAACTCTACGCGGTCATCGTACTCATGCTTCGGATCCGTTTTCGGTATGAGACTATGATACTCCTGAAAAAATCCTGCGCTGAATCCACCAAACAAGCACAAGATATCCAACTCAAACTCACTGTGACACCAAGCTGCTGATGGGTCGAACAAGATGTCTTCAGCTTCGTAGCTTGTGAAAGAGCTGGAAATGGTTCCTCGCATCTTGTTGCCGTACCACAAATTACCATGAACGATTGCGGGCTTGATACCCATCTGACCACCGAGATGTCCGTCAGCGAGAAGATGTGCAATCGGTCCGTCAATCGTGCGCTCGACCCAGTATCTCAATTCATTATCTGATTCCCGTTCGACTTCGCAAGATTTCAGGATCATACGCATACGATCATGCACAAAAAACTCGCGCCAAGATGACGAAAACTTGTTTGCTTGTGGCGTAGGTCCACAATAAGTGACTGCTGGGAACCCGAATACCGGTGCACTGAAGCCTTCAGGTATAGAGGTGGGAGCGGAGTGCAGTGTCGCAAGCTTCTGAGCGAGTGACATCGTATTTGTAGCTGATATGAGATTGCCACTTGTGTCTTGATCGAGATATTCCATGACGAGGAAGCAGCCTACTGTCGCGGACAAGTTTCCGTGAGCGATCGGGTAGGGAACTGAAGAAGGACATGCCTTATGGAGGTCTAGAAGACCAAGGTACTCGCCATAATAGAGATCGTCACGGGCTTCGTTGATCCGAGTCTTCACAAAGTACCTCTTGACCTGGCTATCTCCCGGTACCGTGACGACGGCCTTCAGTGAGAAACCTAGAGCGCCCCACAGCTCAACCACTGTGTCCTCTCGAGAGACGTTCAGGGCTTTGAAAACTGCTGGGTCTGAGAGCATAGCTGTTGCCTCCTCAATAGCGTTCTGAATGCCAGGCTCGAACCTCTTCTCCACGTCCTGCTTCGGTGGTGGTGGTTGAGCATTCATGCTCTTATCGGAATAGGTCAGTGCCCTCGGCAACGAAATTACTGGCCGCTCGAGATCTAGGGAATCTGCCTTCTCGACCGTTATCCAGTCGAGGCCCGATTCTGATGAGCTACGGACGTCCGGACTCACGACAGAGAAAAGCTGCACCACTCCTGCGTGCTCATTGCACTGAGCAAGGTCTTGTGCGGTTTCTCCTTTCTTATTTTTAGTGTTTGTGTTGGCTCCATGCCCAAGCAGAACCGCTACGATGGGACTATGTCCGTTGCTGGCAGCCAGGTGTAGCGCTGTCTGCCCATCCAGCGTTGAGTCGTGAACCGTGGCACCAGCCCTCAGAAGAAGATAGGCAACTTCTGTGTGTCCAAACCAGGCTGCCTGCTGCAAAGGTGTCTCCCCCCTCGCGTCCCCTTTGTTCACATTCGCATCATGTTTGAGCAACATGGTTACTGCTGTTACATCGCCAATCATGGCAGCTCTGTGTAACGCCGTGAATCCGTCTTGATCCCTTGAGTTCGAATTGGCTCCCCATCGTAAAAGCATCGAGACTATTTCATGTCTGCGATGCTTGACAGCAAAGTCAAGAGCAGCCATCCCGCGCATATCCCGTGCGTTTACATCTGACCCATGCTCTAGGAGCACCAATAGCGTCGCCTTCTGCCCTGCCTCAGCCACATCCATGAGAGGAGTGCCGTGGTCACGATCGCGGGATTCTGGACTGGCTCCTCGTTTCAACAAAGTCAGGGTAGTCATAGGGTGACCATTGACGGCCGCAAGATGGACAGCTGTGCGACCGCCCCGATCTTTGGCCTCCACAAATGCAGACCGGTTGAGGAGGAATTCGACTGCCGCCACGTGACCGTTCGTTGCTGCGACGTGCAAAGAAGTTTGCATAGCAGTGTCCCGCATTTCTATATCTGCTCCCCGATCGAGTAGTGATTCGATGGCTGAGACTATACCCTTGGAGGCGGCACCGTGGAGTGGTTGCTTACCATCGTTTGCCTTTATGTTGACATCTGCACCCGAAGCAATCAATAAGGACACTATCTTGCCGTGCCCTTGTTGAGCTGCCACACGGAGCGGCGTAAACCCCGAATGTGCGCACTGAACATCAATCGACGACCCGTTGTCGATCAATAACTTCGCAACATTCAGATGCCCAGCCAATGCGGCTCTGTGTAAAGGGCTATGTCCACGGAGAGAGTCAGCGGCGCTCACATTGCCTCCACTTTGGAGCTTGATTTGTGAGATATGCGCTAAGCCGAATGACGCTGTTACCCAAAGAACATCGAATTCGCGTGGGAACATCTGACTGTATCCCGAGTACCGGTGCTCTGGTATGCACATGATTTGAACACAGCAGATGAGGCGATTTTCATCGTGAAGGAACGATAGGATTGTGTCTGTCAACAATTTTTCGACTTCTCCACGAGCATGTTCACCCCAGAATTGAGCGGCATACAGAAGGAAAGGGTGCTCAAGTAGGCGAGCTTCCATCTGACGATCCGTCTTGCAGACTGCAGTACCTAAGGCATCGAAAGTGAGGTATTTCAAGCAAGTCTTGGTAATGTTGGCCTCGGCGTTTGGAAATCTAGTATCGCGAACTGTCTCAAGGTATGTGTGTAGAGTGTAGTGAACAAGGCGTACGTCTGTAGTGGATGGGTCGACGGCGATCAGGCCGCAACAAACAGATAGCACAATATCTTGATCTGCAAGGTTTTCGTCGTCGAGATCGGTTTCGCCCTCTTCCACAGCAAGAGCGTGACGCAGCTCGAGTATACGGAGAGGTCTTTTAGCGAACGTTATCCAGAACAATACACGTTGTGCCAGTTCTCGGTCCTCCTCGTTCTGATTCGCTATTCTGTCCATGGCATCGTTGTATGTGGCGTTCAGAGACGTTGGTAGCGCATTCAAAACTGTTCTCACTGCCTTTACTGTAGTCTTGTTTTCCATAGCGTCCATGTGAAGTCTTGCAAGTAAAAACATCCCGTGAGTTTTCTCTACAACTGTTCTCCTGATATCCTCCTGCAAGTCTGAATGAGATCTGCAATGTTTCGCAAGCCGGTGGGACTGTGCTATTCGAGCATCCACATAGCTAAGCACATCCTCATCTGTTGCCGCAATCTCGATAGAGACACCATCTGGGAAAAGAGATTCCAGCCCTGCGTAGTTACGCGCGGTGAACATGAGATTACACTTTTCCGAGCGAAAGTTCAAGAGCTCAGTAGCCAGATTTGTTCGAGTACCCATGTCTTCGGGACTCTCATCAAGCGCATCGATCACGATGAACACCTTATCGTACGATTCCACCAGGTTTTGCATGATGCTGGAAACCTCTTGGAGAGATGGACGCGTATCCCGGTCGCTGTGTCGGCGATAGAGAGACAACAGCTCGTCCGGCAGCGGCCCATCATCTTGCAGCAACTGTTTGATCAAACTTGAAATGAGGTTGGTAACGCTTTGGTCTCCTTGCTCTTTGTAGTTGCAGTAGATAACTGCAACAGCAATCTTGCCGAGCTTGGGCCGTGACTTCAAGTGTTCTACAACGACTGAAGCGGCTGTAGTCTTACCCCCGCCTGGTATACCTGAGCATCGTAATAGTTTCCTTTTGCCCACAACCCAATCTTTAAATTCTTTCGATTCCAGGAGCCATTTGGTGGTTCCAGCTTGCCGGCGACGGAAGATGTCATCCTGGCGACCGAGGAAATTGAGAGGTGACAACCACGTGGCGATATCGCGTCGCCTTTGATCACTTGCGTCTTTGGTCAGAGTCATGACACCCAAGGATATTCCCTGTATACCATCGCCGATATTGACAACGTTCTTCTGCATCATCTCGGTTCGATTATCCATGCCGTCGATGACCTTCTTAGTGGCCTGCGTCAAAGTGAAGATATCGTCCTGGAGAGCCATGGTTATGAGTGTTTTGATCCTCTCGATCTGCATCAATGCATCTTTGATTTCGTGCTCACTGAAAGCCCATCTTATGTCTCTACCGAATTGAGGTTCCAGCTTTTTGGAGATATAGTTCATAGCTATCTTGAATTGCTGAAGAGGTCCATTCTCCCAGTCTAGCATCGACACAGCCTTGAACCATGGATCAGTCTCTTTTCGTGCGGATTCTACGCGCTGCTTGAGGTTCGACATGATGCCGATAAGGCTGACCATCTCCAGTGTGAGTGATCTGCGATTTTTTGGCGCATTGGCTATCTTGTTTGCCATATTCACGATCTCCATGGCAGTACCAATGAGCTCCGATAGAGCTGCAGCCAGCCCAATAGCGCTTGCTGGGTCCATTGCTGATGACTGCGTATGTATGTATGTATGTATGTATGTATGTTTGTATGTATGTGTGTGATTGGTATGCGTGTGTAATCGCTCATGTGTATTGATAGATATCTGTGTGTGAGCGCAAGCCAGGACTAGTTTTTGGGAAAACGCAGTGCGATATACTTAGGTTGCGGGGTATGATATAGAAGGCTGCGTCTGTTTCCGCCTCGAGGTTGCACCAATCTGATCCTGAAATCCTTGGCCAGGCTGAAATCTCACCCGATTACTGACGCGGCTAACGTTGCATCCGTAACGATATTTAATGCACTGATCAGATTTGGTTCAGTAGGTACTCATAATGTGACGCCTTGACGCTCGATCATGCTGCATGAGAAGACAAAATTTGACATTACCCCGGGAATCTCTAGAGTTCAAAGTGTCGGAGCATCGTGCCATCGATATGCGGCGTTCGCCAAGTGCTTGGAATTGTGGCTGAGTTGGGTGTGTGGGTCTAATCGCACAACACCCCTCACACATCACTTTGACACGTGTCCGATTCGCTATCGTAACACCGCTGGATCACGGGCGCGTAATGTGATCCGACGGGAGAAGCGAACCAGCAGGAGTTGGTGTGTATCAGACGGACGGACGGCTGAACGCAGGGATCTTTGGTTAGCGTTCTACTGCTACGTCATAGCAGGCAACTTGGATTGCAATCCTGCGAACCGACAGAATATGTGAGCATGGTGAATATTTCCGACGATGTTCACATACCATCGGCCAGGGGATGCTTCTGGATACAGACACGATCCTCCAGGCGAACCAAGGCGCCTTTGCCGCACGATCGTGAGCTGCCTTCTTCTCGCCATCGACGTAATTGCAGGCAGCGACTACATCATGCCGCATGTATCAAAAGATCTACAGTTCTAGAATATCTACATGGAAACTACTGTTCCTTATAGGCTGTAAGGTCGTCCATCATGACTGTCGCCTTCGCTTTTCGCATTCTTCATCACGATTACGGGGCAGTTTTCGCCACGGCTAATCTTGGACATGATAGCCAAATGAAGTTGGCCTAATTGATAGGATGGCAACCCAGCCGATAGATCATGACTTATTTGTTTGTAAGTTGTTGCGTAGAATATACGTTGAGATGAGCGGAAACTCATTCGAGGGACCAAGGTGGGGCGCACTTCCTGCTATCCAAATCAACCATTGCATCATCTACTCGTGATACGCTCTTATCCAATCTCAACATCCGAGAGTTGAAATAGTGAAGAGAAAAACTGCAGTGCTACGTAGATTGTCGGGCCAGGGTAGCGAGATGCAATGTCTTTCTATGGAGCCAGCCGCAATGCCTGCTGCACTATTCGAGGGCACAGCCACGAGCAAAAGTGCTTGCGACGCGGCGGTAGATTTGATTTCCAAAGATGCTAGAAACTGGTGCTGCGCGGCAACCACGCGATAGCCAATTTCCGCATCATGTGCTTGATATACCATTCGACGTACGAGAAATCGTTCTTTAGGCCTGCTGCGCACGCGACGAGCTTGATCGCGACTTCATGGACTTTCAGAGTGATAGCAACATCAAGTGTAGCTATGCGAGTTGTGCAATGGTCTCAATCGCCACGAGTCCCCAGTGAGAACTTGTCACAGCAGGACAATCATCTTCATGGTTGATTTGACTTGCAAGCGTAGCGATGGCAATGCTTTTGAAAGTTGGATAATTACCAACGAAAGGTTGTCCATCTACAGCTGACTGTGTATTAGTATACTCGCTACCTGTGTCAGAAGATGCGACTAGTCAAAGAGTATTGCTATGGGATGTTCGGGAAAAATCATCAGAGCGGCGCGGACAAAAACCAGGACTGACCGTACCAAGAAGTACAGTGATGAAGGATAGTTTGAAGAATTGAATGAGTGACAATGAGTGGTCAAGTATCTACAGTTAAATATACACCAGCGTCTCATCGCGCCATCCCGAACAGTTGCGCATATCCAATTTTGTAGCTCACACGGGCCAGCAGTGCGAGTTCACCATACAACCTCAATCCACCTAAGCAAGGCCAGCGGCCTGGACAGCGAAAGAAGCCGCCGCATCCGCACTGCTGCCGTAGCTGAGATGGCTTCCAGTCGCACCGCCATCACCACCGCCACCACAGATCTGGTCAGCAGTACCGCAGAATTGCTTGATCTGGTCGGCTGAAAGACCGCTGATGGCCTGGCGCTTCAATGGGTCTCCGAACATGACAGCACCGCTAACATCCGTGGCAGAAAGACCCTTGCTGAAAGCATTGTGCACGACCATGGCACCCTGAGAGTAACCCGACACAATGACCTTGGTGTCAGGACATTGAGACTTGGCTTGCTTGACCAGGTCGGCCATCTTCTGGCCACCGTCACCACCGAGGTTGGCATTGCCAGCAGCGGAAGCAGCGTAGTCAACAACCTGGACGGTAACACGGTCGTTACCCAGCTTCTCGCGGATAGCCTTGAACATTGGCGGTCCAGAGACGCTTCCGACGTTGCCCATCTCTCCCGTACCACGAGCGAAGACGATGGTCATATCGGTGCAGCAGTTCTTGTCTACGATGCCGTTCTCGCTTCCTCCGAAAGCGTTGGAAGATCCAGACTGAACTTGGCAGTTCGCGCCGATCGTGCCGGCACCGCCAGTGTTGCCTCCGCCAGTCGCTGAGGGTGCAGCTGCAGCACCAGTCTTTGAAGGTGAGGGCACAACGGCGTCGGCTGTTGTCGTAGCACCGCCACCCGCAGCACCACCACCGAGCCCTCCAAGGCCACCGAGCCCTCCAAGGCCGCCGAGGCCTCCGCCTAGCCCGCTGAGCCAGCTGCTCAGGCCAGAGCCGCCTGTACCGGTGCTGCCTCCGCCTAGGCTGGGTAGGTTGGTTGGGAGGGAGAAGCCTCCACCTCCACCTCCAAGCGATGGGAGGCCACCTCCAAGTGATGGGAGACCACCTCCACCTCCGAGAGATGGAAGGTTGGTTGGTAGACTCAATCCTCCACCAAGACCTGAGCCTAGACCAGAACCTAGTCCTCCGGTTGGTAGCGAGAAGGATGGTAGCGATGGAAGCTGAGGATGCGGGAATGCGGTTGCAATGCTGGCAAGAGCGAAAACTTGAGCGGCGTAGTACTTCATCTTGAGATATTGTTGAACAGTTGATTTGGAAGTATGATGCTAAAAAGTCTGTGAAGAACTGTTTGTTTGAAGAAAAGAATGTAGGTGCACTGCACAACGAAGAACAAGACTGGCGCTGGAAGCGAAGGTGGTAAGGTTGAAGCGAAAGTAGGATCGAAGTCGATGCCCATCAAATCTGTGTTGGAGGCCTACATCTTATACACGAATTCGTGGTTGACTTCCTCGGAGTGCCATTACAACGAGTTACGCCGTTGGGTTTCGAAACATTGCTTCTGCGGCGAGATGTGATGAAAGGAATGCCAAGGCATTTCCCATCAACGCGACGTTTTTGTGGGTGCGTTGCCCCGTTGTGCGGGAAGAGGCTGATGTGTACAAGGAAGTGCACCCATGTTTTCCGTGCTTGACCACTGAATCTGTCGGGTGACCTCTGCATGTCGTGTGTTTTACCCTGGGTTAGCCTCGGCATGCTGTTGGGACAAGTGAAGCTCTTGTTTCGACGACCAAGGATGAATGTGGGCGCATGACTCCAGTGACCGTTTCGATCATCGAGCAGGATTCCCGTTGCATTAGCGGCGGACGGGCTACTGGGGTGTCGTATCAACCTCAACGAGTGACAGAAGTCATGGGTTGGCACGAGTGAGTTGCGAATACTGTGCGCAATGTTCGGTGCGACATCTCGCATCGTGGAGGAAATGCAATGGTACGTCGTTGTACCTTCAAAGCAAAGTATCTGGCTTGAGCTAACCACAGCCTTTCGGAGTCGTTCACGCAAAAAGGCTCCGCTGTCAAACATCTGTATTAGCTCTACCAACGATATGGAACCTTTGCGTCGTTGTTTCTTAGCAAGCCATGTCAGCCCGGCTGGCGTACTGGCGTCAATGCCTTGCTTGGTCTGGAACTTGCCAGCGATGGCAAAGGACGAGACGGCATCTTCCGCCAAGAGCCCAACCATCCTTCAATTACCACCCATGATCTTCTCCAGGGCGTGGAGAGATTGCAACCAAGTAGAATGGCGTAGGGCTGTCTCATGCATGTCGACGGTGCGACCTGCGACGGGCCTCGGCAGCCACCGTGTGGGCCGTTTCACGATGACCCTGGTGCAACATCAACCATGAATCGCACGTTTACTAACAATTACTTCCATCCACCCAATCAGATGTATGTCTCTTACCTTACAGCCGAGGCTGGCTTCTGTGCCTCTCTCTCAACGTCCCGCAAACTTTCTTTTCCTACGCTATTGCGCCATCACGATGACTTTGCCCGCACAGCCGCCTTCACCTCTTCCATCGCGTCATATCCGTACAGCCAAGGCTGTACCTCGGGACATGTCCACCGACTTGGAAATGCGCCTTGAAGTTCCTTGCCAAGTTGGCCCAACATCAGTTCATCGCGCCTTTCCTGTTCTGGTCCGTCGCGGAGGTGGAAGTCTTTTCGCTGCTTGAATGTCTCCCGTACGATGCCCTCGCCTCGTGCTTTCCGTAATTGTTGAAAGAGTTGAAGGGTATCCGGTAGCTTCTCCTTCGAGCTGAGATGCTCCGGTGCAAGTAAAAGTCCCAGAACGGCACCATCCTCGATAGAAGAATTCGCGCCTTGCGCGAGATAGGGAAGCATCGGGTGACATGAATCCCCGATGAGCACAAGATTGTTTTGCGCGTTGATCCAGGATTCCATCTCGGCCCGGTGCATCAGTTTCCACTTGTCCACTTTGTCCACACACCCGAGCAGCTGGGTTAACCTGAATCGATGTTAATTCTGTAGTGCGGTCATAGGGTGAGGCGGGTAGAGCATCTTACACTGGATCCCATCCCTCAAACAGCTTTTTCATCTCGTCCAAGTTGCCCTCTGTCCTTGCAACACCTTCTTCGAGATCATCAGGCACGAGCAAAACCACATTGTACATGTTGCCGCCGCGCATACTGTATGCTACAACGTGTGCATCTGGACCTGCCCAGAATCGACACGCCGGAGATTGCACCATCTCCCTCAGCTTCGGATCGCTGATCTGGTCAACCTTGAGCACGATGCGATATGCCAGATCGCCGGTGGGTAGCGGAGGGTCGTTGCGTCCTAGCATTGTAGATCGACACGAAGACCACAGTCCGTCTGCTCCGACAATGAGATCGGCGTCATATTTCTGGCCTTCAGAGGTTTTTACACGCGCTCTGTCGCCAGTAGCTGATCCAAAGTCTACATTCGTCACTTTCGCGTTTAATACAACAATTACGCCCAGCTCTTTCGCTCGCTTCACCAGCGCTTGCTGCAGGTCTACGCGATGGCAATCGGAGAATGGCGCGCCGTATTTGCGGCGGATGTTTGCATCAAAGTTCTCTTCGTGCGCGAGGACCTTGCCGCGGTAGTTGTGTACAGTCAATGTGACGGGTTCGCAGACCTGGCCGTGGATAGTGTCGTATACCGACCACTTCTGGAGCAGACGTGTGGCATTAGGTGTCAACTGAAGGCCGGCACCTATCTGGAGTCGTGATAAGTATAGATGCTGTGTGCAGCGGCTCGGTGCCGTGAGCGCGAACACATACCTCAGCCAGCTCCCGTGCGCCTTCCAATACCGTGACTGAATGCCCTGACAATGCGCATTGTATCGCAGCGGCGAGACCTGAGAGGCCAGCGCCGACAATCAGGATATCGAGCTTATGCGACATGTTTGGTGTTGATCCTACACGAGGGCCAAAGACGAGTCACCGGTCAGCTTCGATAATGGCGGGTAGCAAGAGTTGAGTCGAGACGTGCGACGTGTTACGATATCGTTGCTTCAATGGACTTTGTCTATTGATCGGACTTCAGATCTATCGCCGGATACAGCAAGTCGTTTTGCGTGTGCGCGCAGCATCGTGATTTCTGTGGCTGGATATTGTCTCTTCCGGGGCATAGAAAGTGGAGTGGGGATGCGGGGAAGCCACAGTCCACCTTCGCGGCTCGGAGACCCTGCGCGCGAACGGGACTTGGACCCCCACCACCCGACATAAGAGTAATCCAAGCTCTTCCTTCTCGGTTGTGCCTGGCTTTTCCTGACCCCGTAGATCGATACCGGGATTCAGAACGGTGATTCCAGCTTGCCTGAGAGCGAGTAGATGCCAGTCGGCAAATTGAAGATAACCTTCGCCCTAAACAAATCAGACACGTCACCTATCCGCATCGCATCAGAGAGCACGCAACTAGCCGAACGCGATAGACTCAATAGTCGAAAGGCTACCCGAGAAGTTCGATTGCGATTATGTGTCTTTATATCAATCTCGGTGAGCACCCTCACTACTGTTCGCGCATGGGATCATTGCAATGCTTGTTTGTTAAGACATTATAGACAACAGAGATCGCCAAAACTGCATCGCTAACCTTCTTCCATGCTTGATATCCGGCTATCCGCATGAACCCCCGAAGGGCTCATCGCTCATTCGCTCATCCCCAGTATCCTATGCAGAAACCCTTGTTGAAATCGCACCATTTCTCTTCCAACGGCAATCTGCGGCTCAAACATGGTGGCCCCATGGTACACCCCCGGCCACACATGTAGTTCAGCGGTTCCTCCAACCTGCCAAATCCTGGTCGCAAACTTGACCGCCGCATCTCTGAAGACTTCGCAGGCACCAACATCAATGAATGTTGGCGGTAGATTCGATAGCTCTTCAGCCCGACCGGCAACCCTCACGCCCGTGGGATCATTCCTGTCCGACCCCAAGATAGCATTCCAGGCCCACTCATCCGTCCACCCAGGCCATATTGTTTCTCTCCGGAACTGACTTGCACTCACATAGTCTTCGTGCCTATCGTCCAGCATCGGAATGTTCAGTAGTAACGCGGCTACTTTGTGACCGTTGAGCTGACGTGCGAGCAGGCCGGTTGACGCCGCAATCGCTGCGCCGCCTGAGTTTCCATAGAGTATGATTCTTGCCGAGTCGATATTCAACTCTATCGCATGTGAGACGAGATACTGTAGCCCTGCATACACGTCGTATGCAGCTGCGGGCGCCGGATGCTCGGGCGCGAGCCTGTATTCCGGGCTTGCAAAGACCACGTCGTCCGCTGGCGAGAAGTGCGCCATGGCTTCTGTGGCACCGAAGAATCGAGTCCCAGCTATTTGTCCACCAGACTTGTCAACAATCAAGCCAAGCAAGCTGGGTACCCCAGCTTGGCTTGATTGTTGGGTGCCTCTACTTCAGCTTAGCTTGATTAGCTTGGTGGGTTAAAACAAGCTAGCTTGATTGTTTGGCTTAATTAGCTTGATAGTTAAAGCGTTTTTGAGGCTATACAAATAGGTGGTATTAGCTATATCGTGACTTTTTTTAGAGTTAAGTTTCTGAATCGCTGTTAGTATTGCTGCTGTCTCTAACGTCCTACGCGCTTACGCTGTACAACGCCTCTATCTTATTGTTAGTTATAGAGTTTCTGTTGTTAAGTTTATCGTCGCCTAGACTAGCTGTACGCTACCGTCGTACGCACTGTATTGCCGCTAGAAGTCGTAGTTGTATACCTCGTCAGCGAGGCTCTAGGAGATCACCTAACTCGCTAAACATACGCTCACACTCGCAGCTTAACGCTAGGATAGATAGTACGTTAAGCGCAAGCTTGCTGAGTTAAGGATAGCAATCCCGCATTAATAACTAGTATTTTATTAGGTTGTTAGCGTACTCGCTGCCCTTCTCTACCCGCCGCTCGCACAGCTTCTACTAGGTATACTCGTCGTTAGCTGCCTTGTCGCTGTTGCTAGCAGTTGTAGGATTAATAATGCTGTTGATTGCGTTGTCTATATCGTTCGATAGTACCTTTAGGCGTTGTACAGCTAGTTAACTAGTATTGTATTAAGCCTACAAGCCGCGGAAACTAAGGTTGTTAGACTTAAGCTAGCTAGGTTTCTTAGTACCCTAAGATTTGTCGCAATACAATTAGTAATATAGGTAGAGTATCGTAGCTGCGTAGTAGGCGGGCGATAGGTCTAATTTAGAGTAATACTCGCTAGCTTTCGCCTACGCTGCGCGCATGTTAATCGCAAGGTAGTCCTTAGGCGCCTTGTTGTAGGCGTTATACTTAACAGCCTCGTAAGCTAGTACGCGCGATTTGTAGTAGTTAAGTATATACTTAAATACTAAGATAACTTTAGCAATATAGCTAAACCTCCCGCTGTTGCTGCGCCCCTTAAGGCGCTTTATAGCAGCTTTTAGCAGCTTTAAAGCGTCTATATACTCTATAACTACCGCCTAATTGTGCGTTGTAAGGCTGTCTAATCTTATCTAGTGTAGCGCGTAAGGCAGTTTATTGCGCTGCGACTTAGCGTAGGTATCCTTATCCTGTATACGCTTTATATAGTAGCTAGCGTACGCGTTAATCGCTAGTTAAAGCTATACAGCGCGCTTAAAGCACGAGTAGAAGGAGTTCTAGCGTGTAATAACAGGCTTAACAGGCTTAAAGATCTTGCGTTTATTAGGAGGTGCGTTAGCTAGTAGCTCGCGATAGGCAAGGCGCTAAAAGTTAGCAAAAAGAGCGTATTGCTATAGTATTTTAATATAGTTAACAATACCTAGGAGTACGCCTAAGGGCCTATTGCGCCTCTACTCGCTTATATACTCGCTTTTAGCAGTAATCTTAGCAGTATTATTATTGTACAAGGCACTGTTTTCTCTCTAGAGGAGCATCTAGCTAACAAGGTTAATTATATAAGGACTATAACAGAGGCAGCGATAGCGTAGGTTAAAGCCTATTATTAGCGCAATTGCGTCTATTGCAGTGTTGTTATTGCTTGCGTTGTTAAGTACAAAGTAGCTAATACGTTAAGCGTTTATACTAAACTCTTTTAACGTTTAGATAACAACTTTTGCTATCTTATATCTACTGTAGGCGCCTGTTAACTACAGCAGCGCGATAGGTAAGTCTACAATATCGCCTTACTTATTAACGTAGTAGGCAACAATACCTAAGAACCTACGCTTACTACCCTTTGTCGTCTAGCTGTTAAAACTTATATATATCTTGCTCTGTGCCCGCAACAGTTCTGTAACAACTTGCAGCTGTAAGTAGTCGTACAGGCGCATAACGTAACAAGAGACGCTATTATAAAACGTCTATAGTGCCGCTTCTGCTTAGACGTTAGCTAACAATATTAATTGTTAAAAAGCTAGCGATTTAAACGTAGACAGTAAGAGGTTAGCTTTAATAAGCTAGCTAACTGCGTTAAGCTAAAAGCGCTAAGAGTTGAAGCTAGAGAGCTTGTTCGCGATACTCTAGCTAACCTAATTGCTAGTAAGTACTTGTTAGAAGACACTTATCGTTATAGAACAAGCTGTTACGTAAGGTAGTTAGTAGCTATAGCTGCGTCTCTTCTCTCTAAGGTGTCGATAGGCAGAAGACGTTAAGTTTGTTGTTTTGTATACCTTCGTAACGCTAAGGTTAATAAGCTTATGCTCGTAACAATAGCGGCATACAAAATATATGCGTTAAGGATTGCTTTGCAGCGCGACGCGCTAGCTGTAGTTATAGACCTAGCTTTTCTTATAACGCTGCGACGCTATAGGCTTTATAAACTAAGAGAGACAATCCTAATTAATGCTATTAAAGTTATCCTCTAACTCCTCGTCTAAAGCTGTATTGTTAGACTCGCTAGTTGCTATTGTTGCCTCCTCGCTGCCCTTAGCAGGTAAGTTAATATACTCCTCTATTTGCGACTCGCGCAATTGCGCTTTAAAACTTAATACTTAGGACGCTTTAACTAGGGCTTTACAAGGCGACAGACAAGGTGACAATTAAGGGCTTTTAATAGGTATAGCTTAGCTGTAAGTGCTGCTAAGTGTAGGTTTAGGACGCTTTGTTGTTAACGCTGTAACAGCGTCTTTAGCGCGTCTCTTCTGCGGCATAACTGCAACAAGAATATAGCAATAAATGCAGAAAGCTAGCGGCAATACAGCAGCGCGTAGGCGGTACGTAATACAGCTAAAAAGTACGTGTTGTAGGTGGCGTTGTGTATACAGAGTTGTACAGTTACAATATAAGATAGTTACCTAAGTAGCACAAGATGTATTGCTTAGCACCCTCTATCGTAACTACTAAAAGCAACTACAACAACGCAACAATTAATTAAATTCGACAGCAGCAATTAAATTGTAGTTGTCTGTTTATAAGATACGCAGCGCAATATACTGTAAATATTATGTTGTAGTTGTATAATTGCGCAGTTAAAACAACGCGTTTTTTTGTTATTTACAACATCTACTTTTACCTGTAGCAACAACCTTAACACTATAGATATATACAGTAATATTAGGCCTACAATCGTCTCTACTACGCCTAGCAAGCGGTAGTAGAGGTGTATAATAGCTACTGTATTTGTACTTGCTAGTGCTACAGTGTGTCGCCTACAGTCGCCCGAAGCAGGCAGCCGTCAGCGACACACTGTAGTATTAGGAGATTTTTTTTTGCTGTATTTAAATCGCGGCAGTAATAGCTCTATCGTAAGGTTTTTTTGTATATATATATGTATATATAGCGTTGTTAGGAATTTTTTTTGTATATTAGTTGCTGACCTTAACACTAAAAAAGTATCGTGTGATTGCTGCTACAGCAAACCTAACAACCTTACGCGTAGGCCTTAGCTAATTAAGCTAATTAAGCTAAACAATTAAGCTAGCTTACAGCAGCTTGGCTTGATTGATTTGTACCTCTACTCCAGCTTGGCTTGATTGATTAGCCAGCTTGATGCGCCAGCTTGATAGCGATCAAGCTGGCTTGATTGTTGACAAGTCTGTTGTCCACCGCCGTGGATATAGTAGATAACCGGTCTTCCACTGGGCCACGGGCGGCGCGTTTCATGCGTGCTTTGCCAAATTGATACAGTCACGTCGTAGTCACTTAGATCGCCAACGCTAGATGCAGAGAGGGTAATATGTTTGTATTCCGGCTGCTGTTGGGCGATGTATTCAAGGTTGATGTTGAAAGCCAATATCATATTTCGCGTAGCTTCAAGGTCGAAGGTCTGGCTGGAACTAGGCATACCGCTGCCATTCTTGTAGCCTACATCGAATGGTGGCCGGACAGGCACGTCTGCCATGGCTATAGTTGGCGTGTGTTCTGGAAGATAGGTTCCGTTTCACCGAATATGTTTATGCACGACAAAATTGTGTGACAGTCGCGAGATAGGAAAGTTTGCAAAGTCCAATCAGTGTACATTTCCTAGATACTTATATTGGTGGTCTTGGAGCTACACTACGCTCTGTTCCACGGCGAAAACCCCACGGCTCATGAAACTTCCGAGGTCCGATCTTGGATGTGTTAGTCAGTGATGTGGGGCAAACTACAGTCCGTGCGCACCCAACGAGCCAGTTCAGTCAACGAGCCACCCGAAGCCCCGCAACCTCATGAACTATCCCAACTGCAACGCGTCATAACTCCACAACCATGGACCCGATTCAAGAAGCGATTGCAGAAATTGAACCGCACGAACCAGGAGAGCAGTTTCCGTACCTTCAAGATAGCCAAGGGATACTCAATACAGCCAATGGAGACTTCTTCCCGCTCTTCTGGAGGTCCTTTGAAGCAACTGGTATACACTCACCCAACTCAGAGGTTGTACTCGAAAAGTTTGCTAAGGAGAGATCAGAGTCAGAAGGCAATTCGACCTCTCTACTTTCCAGCGAGGATTGGCTCAAGCTGAAGTTAATTGTACGCCGTGAGGTGAAGGATCAGAGCAGCAAGGACGTTAAGAAGCTTCAACGAAGTTTGCACCACATTGCAACACAAAATAAACTCCTCCTCGGCGAAGTTAGACGCCTCAGGCAGTCCCTAGCCATCAAGAAGAGGCGAGAAACCAAATCCTATACCCTACAGCTTAAGGATCATCCTAAGTATTATCGAGGAGCTGTTTGGTCTCCCAAAAGCGTGAAAAGAGCTCGGGATGATAGGGTATCACAACAACAACAAGCCGCGAAGAGTGTTAAGCGGGAGAAACGTCAGGAGGAGAAGAGGAAGGAGGACGCTGCAAAACTGGCCAAGAAAAGACACCAGGAGCTCATTAAGGGAAGGCTTTTTCGGCCAACCCCAAGTACTATTCGGCCAACCCCAACAGATCAGACGAGATGGAAGGTCCCTGAGGCACCAAAATGCGGTCAGAATAATTTAGTTTATCGACACCTTTAGGTGTTATTGCCCGCTTAGGTAAGTCCTTGATAAAGGATTGCTTTCACCTCATCTTTCCCAGTAACAGGCTGCTTCCATCTCATCTTTTTTTCAGGGGTAGTAGATGCTCTTAAAGGTTCTGGGTGGCGGATTGCTTTCATCTCATAATTTGGTGGTCATAGTTATGTGTACCTAGGTACCTAGTTGCTTCCATCTAGTCTAAGATGTCTAGGTGGCTGGTTGCTTTCATCTAACCTTTTGGGATTGGCCGAATAGTACTTGAGGTTGGCCGAAAAAGCCTTCTCCTCATTAACAACACTAAAAAGCTTATACAACTGTCCCAGAAGGGTAAGCGTAAGGCTTCCCAACCGTGTAAGCTAGCTCCAAAGCGTCAGAAACGTATTGGGGTTGCTCCAGCTGTAGTAGGAGTCGCAAGCGTTGCACCAGCTACCCCGGCGCGTAGTCGCCGTTCACGACCAATCCAGCCTACAAAAAAACTATTTAACTAGCGCAAAACTTTCCCAGGCCTGTATATAGTATAGTCCTAGCTTTGCGCAACTTAGTTACGACTTGTGGTGGCTCTACAACCTCATCTTTTTGAGTATATTGAATGGCTGGGGGTGATCATTTGGCGCACGGGCACTGTAGAACAGAGCTACTAGGCTTCGGACTAAGGACATAGGCTGACTGTATATCTGGCATAACGTGATGTGATCTGCTAAACACATAGATACACTTTTAAGGGTCAGGAAGATATTGAAAGACTTTTTAGCCAAAGTCATTCCTAGCCTGCGTTGTCTTGGTCTAAGATTCAACAATAACACAGTACGTTCCTGCCACATCATCTCCATTCTACGTAGGCCCTGCCACTTAGTTAGCTTACAGCTTTAATCCGGCACGATAAGATTGGCTTACGGCAAACTCCGCCCTTCATCTTACCACTATCGCAATGGCCCATTCCAGTGCTGCACGACAATGTCGCTGTGAACCCGAGTGCTCCACTCTGACCTTCGGGGATAGTGATGGACACTGGGCTGCCGGAGCTGACTGATTCGTTGAAGTCAGCGCTAACACCGAGATTGTGTATATCAGCAATTCCAATGCTCATGGAGGTGCTCCAACTCTGAGTGCGGTCTTTGGTCACTGTGATAGACTCCGGTCGCGACACCAAGTCCATCACGATTTGGGCGTTGTCAGCAGGCTTGGTAAGAATCTCGCCACCTTCCCAGCTATCCTTGGTGCAGCCCCGTTTTTGGAGACGCTGTCCTGTCGTTCTACTGGCCTGACGTTTCACATTTCCCTCATTGACGAGTGTTGATGGTGATGCTACTTCTGCCGGCTCGATGATAGTGCCATTGGCATACTGTGCAATGACAATAAGTATGGCACTAGATAGAACACTTGGGTAGAGTGCGCCGGCCATTTCAGAGCTTCCTTGACTTTGATATCGATGGACGAAAGCCCGAAAAAAAGCATGTGTGCCTCTTTCCGCAGAGTAAAGTGTTCTGCTTTCTATATTGTAACTGGATGTCCAATTACCGCGAGCCCGAAAAACTTATAGCTTGTCTTATTAGCATCATTGTATTGTTTTCTCATAGCCGCCTTATCTACGTCATTCTGTTAGTATGTTTTGCTAGAGCCTGCAGGATGTGGACCGGGACTGTACAGAATTGGGTAATGATATTGGCCGTTTTACAGATTCCTGTGGTAGGCGCGACTATTGCGGGATTCGTTGGAAGAGCTGATGTCTCTGCTTTGAACCACTGTTAAAGACCTATCAAGGTACCATGCAGCTTAACAGAAGGTGAAGCTGTACCGTAGATAATTGTTCCCTCCATCTACATCGTCGCTATTCACTTGGATGTCAAAACAGCAATGACTTGAAACGTCGTTCGGCGAACCATCATTTTGCACTGATTATTGGCTCTAACTGGGATCCGCGCCTCTAGATAAGTTAGTTAAAAATCTCTATAAACTTGCGGCCAAAGCGGCGCATGCGTCGAATGGAATCTATCTTACACATAGTTACCTACGCACAATGTTTCTTCAGGGAAGATCGATCCTGCCAACAAAGGCCAAGTGTTTGGTGTCTCGCTTAGTATGGTGGATAGCGTCGCTCCTTCGTTGCGCTTGCAGCCAATGAAAGAGTTCCCTTGGTTACATGGAAGTGTGCCGTAGTACCGTTTATTTTACCCGCTGGCGCAGCACGGAGTCAAACCCCAGCGCTTACAGGCATCATTGTCAGCGGTGCAGTGCAGTTAACTGTAGATCTTTAGCGTTACAGTAGTATGGATCTAGTGTAACACAACATTCCTTTGGGCGGATACGGGATGCCTAACTCTGTCGATCGGGTCAATGATAACCACAGGATCGTGGGGACTTGGCATATTAAAGTTATTGTGCACGTCATTGCTCTTGGCTATTGAGTTGGTCCAATACTTTGCCTAGGCGTCACATACACTAGAATACAAATAGATGTATTCTCGCAAGTGCAGACGAATAATTTCTTGAGTCTCCACCCTTAAGCTACGACAATATGTGGACGTCTAACCATCGAAAGTCACTGCTCTTTACAATATCGGGACTCCTGACCACAACGTTTGTCAATGCCCAGAATTACTCCTGCCCAGGCAATTTCCGGGACTACAGAAGCGTGAACTCAACCGGCCAGCACGAATTCACTTGGAACTCCTCCTACGCTGGTGAAGACTCGTGGTATGTCTCTGTCCTCATTGGATCTCGAGAAACCGAATGGAATGATGGGAGCGATGTCGATGCGACTGCTTACATCTCCGCTCCTGGAAACGTGCGCAATGGCACAGGATACTGCAGCTACCAATACAACAACATCAATGCGACGTTGGAATCCGGAAGAGAGAACAGCTGTAGCGGTGTGATCAGCTCGGTCTGCATAGACCATCTGACCAATGCACTAAGCGAAGTAGCGACCTACTGTCCTAGCCCCGACACTGGGTCCACATCAGAAGCGTTCAAGAAGGCGTGTCCAATGTTGAGAGGTGGTTCACACAGTACGTTCCTTCCATTGTTTCTGCAAGAAATCCCCTAATGATCATTCTCTTTTCTTCTTACGTCCGGCACAGAACAGATACTATCGACTTGAGACCCGGGATCTGTAATTCTTGTGTTCCTAGCTATTAACTTCACACAGACACCAAGTTCATCGACGTGGCAAATAACACGTGCGCCTATACGGACATGCCCGAAGTGAATATCCCCGACAATTACAGCACGTTCAGAACAGTCATAGGCCTCCAAGCGTCCGATACGATCGCCGAAGTTGGTGCGAATGAGACGTATGATCTCCTAACGCGTCAGACAATTCCACTCGTCCTACTGGGACGGTTTGTTGACCCAGAATCAAATCGGGTACAAAGGAGCGTCGAATTCGTGTGTATGACTGCGAACAATACAGTGGAGGGAAGCCGTGTGCCGGACCAAGAGACGCCTTGGGAGAGTGTTGGGGCTCATGTTAGTGCTGGGGTGATGGGATGGGTGGTCAGTGTGGTTACGGCGGTAATGTTTGCCTTGTAAGACGTAGTGTAGAAGGCATTTAGAGTAGAGAATAACAGACGCCCACGGGCTCATGGTTAAAGGTACTATACGATGCAGCGCCAAGGACTTGTTACCAATGAAGAACACACAAAGTACTTTACTACGCTATGAATGGAAGCTTCTCCTGCCGTAAGCTCCTCTTCCGCGACCGTAAATATTCGCCCATTTACTAAGAGGAAGGGCACTCGCTCTGGTTCATAAAACGCTGTGGCATCATGGACAGCTGAAGTGCCTTGACTGTCTATGAACTGACTCGTTTTGCACACGGATATAGAAGTAAAAAAAAAGTAGTCGCTTAGAAATGATGGATTGAAGCACCCTCCGATGCTCCGACGCTAAACCTGATGCAGTATCTGTAATCAGCGACTATAAAGCTCAGAAGCGTGGTGCAACTCAAGTCTGCAGTATTCTCTTGTCATATCCATTCTATCCCCTCCAAACGTTATGGTCAACTTGATCCCGGTCCTACCAGGCACCGGAAAACAAGGGCAGGCAGCTATCAAGGTGTTCCGTGATCGCGGCTACACTGTACACACTTTGGTCCGAAATCCTTCATCAGACGTTTCGAAGGAATTGCATTCCCTTGGTGCAATCGTTCATAAGGGCGATCTTGCGGACATAAAATCTATAGAAGCATCACTCCATGGCACCGAAGCTCTCTTCTTCGCTATTCCCGCCCATCCACTTAACGAAATCTTATTTGCGAAGAACATCCTAGCAGCTGCTTCGAACTCAAATGTACGGAGCATTGTGTACTTGAGTGTAGCTCGCGCCGGAGAGCATGAGAATTTCCCTGGCTGGGATGCGGACAGCTATCCACTAGGATGGTACTGGATGAACAAGCAGACGATAGAAGGGTTAGTGAGAACATCCAATTTCACCTATTGAACCATTCTACGCCCTGCTTTCTTCATCCGGAACTTCTGTCGCCCTGAAGTCGAGCATATGTTTCCAGGCCTGGCAGAGAAGCAGCGTTTGTCTGTAGCGTATACGCCTTCAACTCGGCTTGACTTCATCGATACCCAAGATATCGCTAAGTTTGCGGCTGCAGCCTTCGAAGAGCCCGACATATTTTCGGGACAGGAAATACCGCTCGCGAGTGAGAAAATGACTGCTAAGGAACTTGCTGAGGTTCTTGGAACGATAAGTGGCAAGGTGGTTGACTTTCACTATATAAGTGACGACGAGGTACCAGAGCTTGTAGCTAAGAGATATCGAGCTGTTCAAGCGCAGCAATGGCACAGAGATGTAGGCTATGCTGAAGATCTACAGGAAGTCAAGCAATACGGTATCACACTTGCGCCAGTGCAAAAGGTGCTTGAACGTGATGGGTTAGGGTGGTAGGCATGATATGGAGTATGACGTTCAAAAATACATAGCATCTTAGCCTACGTTCTCCTTCGAACGCCCACTCGCCGTTCCGGGTAATCTGTTAGAATGTCAAAGCCAATATACTTCTGTTGGTAGCACATCGGTCTTGGTGTTTGTAGTGGTGTGTCTTTCGAATGCAATCCAGGGGCCAGTATAGTCTTGTGGAGTAGCTGGTTGAGTATTGGACGTTAGTTTGTCGTCGGCTACTTCGACCTTGATAGTAAATGCATATTTACATGTGTAAATACAAGTGCCAGTTTATCTACATAATCCACCTGTTCGACAATGTCCCATCCAACATATTCTGCACTGAGTCGATGGACGTGAAGCAAGCTTCAAGTACAGGGGACGCTAACTCGTTGTCACCTACGAATGGAAGCCGCCCCTGCCGTAAGCTCCTCTTCCTCGACCTCGTCCCGGCCCCAAATTCCGCTCGTGAACAGATATTGGAGGAGCGGGCTTCCTTTCGAATTTCCCCACCTCGCCAAGTGTATAATTCCTGTCATCGGCCAGCTGAAAGGCATTTTTCCCCGCATCATCAACGGCGTAAGGATCTGCTCCGCGTTTCAGCAGATAATTCACAACTTTTTCGTTGTGTGTACAGCTCTCAGCGTTCGAGTTGTACTTTCTACTAATCGCGAGCAGCAAAGGAGTCTTTCCAGTACCCTCTCTAGCTTCGATTTCAGCACCATGGTTAAGCAGCGCAGTCACCACCTCGAGAGTTGCTCCCACAAACGCACCATGAGCAGAGGCAATGGCTAGATGAAGCGGTGTATAGCCCTCAATCAGAACGGCGGTCCGTCCGTTGGAGCCACACGTAGGATCCTCCCGTGTCGCACGACCGTGAATATTTGCGCCATTTGCTAAGAGGAAGGAGACCAACTCCAGTGTACATGACGCGGCAGCCTTATGAATAGCTGCAGTACCTTGAGCTGTGGCAGCATGAATATCTGCGCCGTGGTTGAGCAGCGCTCTAGAGATACTGGCGGAACGAGACTGCATGAACGGCGTCCATCCCAAGTTATTTCTTACATCTACTGGGCTGCCGGCGTCTAGGTATAGAGATACTAATGCGAGCATCCCTAGCGAGCAGGCTTTGTGTAAAGGGATCTCTCCTTGATTTGTAGCATCAACGTCTGCACCTGAAGCGATTAGCCAGGAGGCTATGCTTGGGCTGCGTACATGATGTAGAGGCGTCTGACCCCCCGCAGCTGGAGAACCAATTACTGCGCCAGCGTCTATGAACACCTTGACAAGCTCCTCGGTCGCGCGAGGATCACCCAGTAGCTCAAAAAATGGCGAGCGTCCAGAAGAATCGGGAAAATTCGGATCAGCGCCATGATTCAATAGGGAAGTTATGAGAATCATTGGTGGTCCTTGTTCAGTGACAGCAGCATGTAATGCGGTGCATCTTAGTGGGTCTTTGCCATATGTATTGACAGATGCACCTGCGTCTATCAAGACGTCGATGATTTGGACCGCGTGATCCCACTGCTGATCACGAATATAGTCCAACAGGCCACCGTCCCCATCTGCATTGTCGCAATCGAAAACCGACAGAAGAGCATCGTCTAATGCGGATTGCCAGTAATCGTCACGCGCATTCGTGTCGCGCTCACTACCGAATCTTTGCAATATAAATTGTACCTTTTCCAGATTCTGGTTCTTGGCCGATACCCGTAGGGCATCCGCAATCGCCCGTCGATGTGTTGTATCTAACAGGCTGCCCGAGACTTTCTCGAAAAGTAGACGAAGCATGTCCAAGTGGTTCTCTCTTGCCGCAAGAAAAACAGCTTTGGAAGACTCAAAATCAACTCCGTGAGCAATGAGTTCCTGCATTGCAGCGATGGCATTCCAGCATGCGGCTGTTTCTACTGGAATGAAGCTATCAGGTTCATCGTAGGCCAAGTTGTCGCGCAAGCTTGTATCAGCCCCACGAGATAGCAACAATTGAACCATTGACGAACTATCGTTACGTATGGCACAATGTAATGCGGTTCGGAGTGACTCGTCGCGACCATTGATGTCGACTCCGCCATCTAGCAAATCGGAAACCTTGGCTAGATCATTGCTTACGGCTGCCTGGTGGATCGAGACATCGTGCGCGAATTCAGTGCCATGGCCCTCTTGGGTACTGTCGTCCGGCCAGGGCATGATTGCAATTTCCGAAAATGTGACGTTTGCTGGCGTGGTTCCTGGTGTGGTGCATTCCTAACGGGCGTAGCGAAAGTATTGTTGAAGCAAAGATGTACAGTCACAAGCGCGGCGGGTGGTTACCTGCAAGGTACTGGCCAAGTCAACCTTAGCCGCTACGATGAATCGCTTGAATCATGCAGGATTGACACGCCAAGCCACTAGTCGCCAAATTTGACCCACGAAGACATGCTGGTGACCTCGTTCAGGCTCATTCGCATGTCGCGTATATACCTATGTCCGACCTAGAACATAGTATGCAATGTCATCCTTCAGCTTCTCCAGGACATGGACTTCAGCATCGTGCCGCGAGCATTACCTTATCAGTATCGCCTAAATGCGAGCATGGGTAGCGTAAACACGAAAGGATCAGTTGAGAGTGGGAGACATGAGATACCACTGTAGACACTTCTTTCTGATCTAATAGCATATTGTTACGTTGACGCATTACGAGCTAGATGAAGTCCCACCTCCTTCGCGAACCAACCTTTCCAACCAATCTCTGATCTGGCCTCTCACCCGCGAGAGCACTTTCTCATGTCTCACCATCAATTCGTTGAGTTTGATATCGGCAACCAGCTGCTGCTGCTCGGCGTGTAATGATACCTTAACACCGCCAACGTCGAGATACCTCCTGCGAACCGTTTCCCTGTTGATGAACGCCACGAGGCCCTTTTCGTGCGCCTCCAGCTGGGCCGACGTGAACTTGTCCGTCTTGTTCGCGATGGACGCGACCTCCTTGATAAACAGGCCCTTGGAGCGCGTTAGGTTAGTAATCCACGAATCGCAAATCTTCTTGTGCGCGATTTGTTCCACAGCGCAGAAGCGATGGAAGACGGTGTAGAGCAGGCACACCTTCTCGACGATGAGCTCCTTTTCTTCGATGATGACGCGGTCGCCGACGTCGTAGGGCTGCTTGGAAAAAACGAATTGGCATGCTGCTATAAACTCGGTAACGGTGCCACTCAGTGCGAAAGAGAGTCCGGTGACGGTTGTCCAAATCGGCGTCAGGTACGATGTTAAGTTCTTGACGAAGAATGCGACTTTGAGGATTTGTATCATGAGCTACGTATACGAGAGTTTGAGGAGGTCAGAGACTTACCGTATATGATAGCGACGACAAAGAGCAACAGGAAGCTTACGACAGCATTCGCACTTCTTGCTGCACGTTTCATTCCGTTTACACTCTTTGCGATGTCGCGCATTGCCATCACCAGCTCATTGAGAAAATCTGCGACTTCATCTGTCGTAATCTCGCCACTGTCGTCATTATCCATCATCTTCATAATTTCCGCCACTGTGAAGTCTAGCGCGTTATTGAACGTTTTGTAGGCCTCTTCGTTGATTTTCTCCTGCAGAAACGCCTCTGTGAAACTCATATTATCTTCGTGGAGGTAGTGCTCGACGAATATATCTGGGAAAGGCTTTCCGTCAAGATCGAACTCTTTATCACTGCCTTTACCTTGGACATATCGCTTGCCTTGTTACCGCACGTCTTTCAGGTCTGGTGGGTCGCGTAGGAAGAGAGTCCCGAGGAACTTGTCCGTCATTGAAGGCAGACGAGAAGCGAAAGATCGACACCGAGAGTCTTGACTCCCTGCAGGTGCAGAATTGACCGGCGGGTCCCGCGAAGTACCCTCCTTCTGCTTGACTTCAAGATAGACCTTGGCTATCAAAAAAATAGCATTCCTTCGTCGCACCATTGTTTCCAGATGTCTTTTCTTGCCCGTCCTCGCCGCTTGGAAGGTGATAATGACTTTCATGAGAATATCCTCTGCGCAGAATGTAGCAGTCGCAGGTATACTGGCAAGGAGCACTTTTCTCAAAACCATAAGCCAATTTTCGTTGCAGGTGCTGCCGCTAACGCGACACATGGCAGAAGAACTTCCCCATGCCACAAGAGACATTGCGAACCCCTAATTTGTCCGCATGGTGTTGGTAACGAACGTATCCCACGGCATCAGGTTCGTGTCGAATTGGCACAACCAAAACCAGCCTTTGCCAATATAAAAGTGGAAAATCGAGAGAATCCACACTGAAGTCCACAAAATCTCTATCCAGATGGGAAAGCCGGTCGTCCGAATGCCACCCATCGCTGTTTTTGGTGCGGACGCAGCGATTGCCACCCAAGGTATCACGATGAGCACAGCACCTATCAACCACCATGTCGACCAACGCAAGTCTCTCGACTCTTTCGTATCTCTGATATCGATTTTTCTCACCACTTCGTTCTTATCCCCATCGATGTTCGATTTCGGTAGCTCGTTGATCGTGACTTCCGCTTTACCGAGTCCGCTTTGCGACTCGAGGACGCTGTGATGGTAGAAGGGATCTATCGTTGTATCCATCCCTCCGTTTGATGGAGCGAGTCGCAAACTGCGGTTTTCAATGGACAAGGGATTGATAACGTCCAAGGTTTGGTTTGCACGTCTCAGCTCAGTTTGATGGCTATGATCGATGATGCTGTAATCCCGCGACGTCTTGCTCACACACTTCTCAGTCTATTGATTGACAGCTCAGAACTTGTGGGATCAAGCGCTGGTGTGTCAATCAATCAGCAAGCACACATAGCAGCAGCCAGAGGTCTCTAAGTATACCAGATAAAAGAATTACTACCAGAAGAGGTTATCCCAGAGATAACGAGGTGGTGAGATGACCAGATACGCATGCAGATTGTCGTCGCTCGATCCTCTGGACGAAGTCCGTGTCGTTCTATTATAGAATCACAAAGCGCATGAGAACGCAACAGGACAGTTCAGCCCCTCATGCACTCCTTGGTAGTTGCAGATGGCCTAGACTATTCCAATTATGTTCGATTGGCTGTGGTTCTCAGCCACAATCATCATGTTGAACATCTAAAGCTGAGCCTTCCGCCACCCAATGAGACTAGAAAGACCCTCATTGGTCCAAGTCTGAAACGAGGCGGAGATTAGAACATTCGCAAACCGCCTGTAGGCAAACTTGGATAAGCTTGTGTAAATGCTTCTTGGTTGCGCGATTCGCCAAGCAGCTTTCACGTGACGGGTTTTGAAGTCCTGAATAGATCGAGAACACAGATCTACCATAGATAACGAGTATCAATTCCGCCTTGTGAGACGTTCCTCCGTGATTAAAATAGATGTTTCTATCTCCCCCAGTCAATTGGTCGTACTGAACCCATGTTCGATCGGTAGCCCCTCAAAATGATGTTTCATGGCAATCTTTCTCATGTAGAGTTCGCATGGCCTGCAATTCTGCCATGCATAATTCTGAGATAGATGCTCCACACGCAGTTGACAGTCATCGTCACCAAATGTAACACCCGTCGAGCCGACAACGCTCAGATCAGCTGTAGTAGCAGCGGCAGCAGCGTTTTCTTTTTCCCGACGGATTCGTTCGTTCTCTTCATCTTCTGCTAGGGTTGGATCTTTTGGTTTCTTAGACTTCTTCTTCTTCTTAAAGGTTGGAGTGGCAGAACCCCAAGCGCCCCAGGGATCGTCGTCCTTCGTCGGGCAGATCTCAGCTCCAGTATCTCCAGCAGCGACGTACTCGGCTTCCATCTTCTTGATGTCTGCTTCTTGGTTCTCTAAGCCTATCTGATCTGTTGTCTTGCTCTTCTTCTTCTTGGCTTTCTTAAGTGAAGCTGCATAAAACGGACCCCAGGGATCCGCTTCTTCCTCTTCCCTCTTCTTGGACTTCTCGGCTTCGGCGGCGGCGACGGCAGCTTCCTCTTCCTCCATCCTCTTCAACTCGGCTTCTTCCTCTTCTAGGCGCATCCGTTCCTCTTCTTCCTCTCTCTGGCGCTTCGCTTCTTCCTCGTCCTTCGAGTTCGTCTCTTTGTCTAGTTTGGCCTTCAACTTCCTCGCTTGCGACTTACTCAGCCCTGCGTAGAGATCTTTCTCCGTCTCTAGATGTTCTTGTGCAGCGGATACAACTGGAGCGATAGTGTCGGCATCGGGAACGACTAGCGTTGAATCAACATCGAGACGGACGTCAGATGGCGACGCAGGAGGGGGCGAATGACTCGTCTTCACCTTAGACTTCTTTTTTTTCTTGGCAAGACTACCCCACATCCACAGCGGATCAACACCTGCTCCGTCTTCTTTGTCTATGATAACGGTAGAGTTTTCGGCTGTAACATCCCCCTCCTGAGATGGCGCAATGTTTGCCTGCCCGGCTCGGAGATGCTGGGTGTCTCCTCTATCAGTCGCGTAATCGCCTTCATTGGTGCTTGAAGGTAAGGCTGCAGGCGTATCAGCCTCCTGACTGCTACCCCCGTCCTGAGCCAGATCATGAGGACCCCAGGCAGCTGACGAGTCATCGAAAGCTCCAAACTTTTGTACAGACGTGGGCCATGCGTTGGGACCCTCAGCTGCACGCTTGGAAGTTAAGTCTGCTACGTCAGGCGAACAAGCCCCTCGAAGTTCGTCGTGTCCAGGTGCTGAGATCCGACCGGTTGCGGTCTTTTCTTTGCGCAACTTGTCTATCTCTTCGCTTAACAGACCAACGGTGATTTGAGCTACCAACTTCGTCAAAGTAGAGCTTTCTATGCTGTCGAAGAAGTCTGGTGCCAATATCGCTGAAGGGTCATGTTCGAAGGCCAATCGAACTTTCATCGAAACGTAGTCTCTAAGCCACGCATGTTCTCCAGGAGGACCTACAAGGAAATCCTCTCGAATAACGCGCAAAGCATCAAGTAGACACATGTCCTCGCCTTGTCGCTCGAGCTCGATTTGCGCTAAGTTCTGGAGACCAGGCACACCATACTTCTTAGCAGCCTCTAGTGTAAGGAGAGCTGTTTGGAATTCACTGAGGACGATATCTTTTTGTGTGTTCTCGATATTTCCGACAGCTTCGTTGTTGAGAGTTTGATACACACCTGTGTGCAGGAAGTGAATCAAGACGTGACCAATGCTCGCATCAACATCTGCGAGGTGGATCTTCCCTGTCCGAGGATCACGACTTGGGATGTTCTCTAGTTGTTGCAGCAGGATATCTGGCAGATGATATTCCTGGAGCGTAGGACCGAAGTGCAAGGCGACAGTGGGGCTTGTGTATGGGCTGAGGTGGTTAGCTCTGTAACGTTGTGCTGGCCTGAACGGAGGAAGATCGCCTCACCTTGTCACCGGTCGAGGGGCTGCAACAGTGGCGGCTTTCGTCGCACGCTTGCATTTCTTGGCCATCGCAATCGAACCAACCCAGGTAGTACTTTTTTAGATTTCTCCTTTCGGGATTCTGGAAGGACAAAGTACCTGGATCAGTGATATAGTCAGACAGAGGGGCCTTTTATCTTGGATACATGATGGTTCTAGAGACCCCTCGTGTTCGGCACGTGCATAAGCGTTTTCCAATGGTGGTTCACCCAATCATTCACGCGTTGTTCGTGGAGGACCTCTGCATATGCGAAAACACGACACCCTGCATACCACGCCGCTTGGCTGCTTGACCCCGCACATGAACACTCGATCCGATTAGGAACTATATCCTTGGATCACAGTCGTCAAAAGTGCATGCAAAGAGTAAGCCTCAACAAGAATATAGCACAGTTGTATCTTAACTCGTTCTACTACCACTGCATTTATTCCGAGCTAACCTGGTCTCATTTCCTGCGTTTGAAGGCAACTATTTATTTCCAACACCGGAGTACGATGTCTTCGCCTTACAAAATTTTGTTTATGGTTGCCACACTTCGCATCGATTCATGCAAGCACTTCCAGGAAATGAATTCGCAGATGCAGCCACGGCGCGTAACGTGTCACTGTGCCATTGGTGCGAGATATGTATAGCAGTCCCACGGTAGAGTGGACTTGCGCCTATCGATGTCTTATAAGCTGAATATATCCGACGTCTACACTTATCAGTCATCCGTGATCTTGCCCGGGTAAGCTGCAATTCCCAAAAGGACTACGACTGGACGCAAGATGAGCATTTGTGTGTTGTGCAATCGCACTTTCGGTAGCGACCAGGCACTCAGACAACATGAAGAGGACTCACCAAAGCATGGAACCTTTGACTGCAAGGCATGCAAGCGCTCTTTTAGTAGCCAGGATGCATTGACTCAGCACCAAAACGATTCTCCAGTTCACCAGAGATCCAGAAGGGACTCAGTCACAGCATCCACCACGCCTGTTCCCTTCACCCAATACGTGCCTTTACTATCCTCAACATCTTCGAATGTCCCTTCGGCAACACATGATGGCCAGCGCAGCCGCCACACCGCGACGGAAAACGGTTCACACACAAATTCGACATTCGACACGAATTACATCCCACTTGAAGACACTTTGCAGGCCCTCACTATATCGGATGTTAATACGACTACTGCACGACCAAAAATTGGTCGAGCACGGGTTGCTAAACTACAAAAGGAGACGAGGACTTCCTTCACGTTTCCCGAACTGCACCAACGCATTGCGGAAGCTGGCGCGCCCGCCATAACGTCGACATGGTTCAATTCCAACACGAAGGCCCATGCTGAGAAAGAGAAGGACACGAATGTTATAGGAAAGTTTACATGCGTCAACGACCGATGCGGAAAAGATGGGTGGAGTAGTGGACTCGTCGCAATCTGGATTAGAGGATACGATCGTAACGGATACAACGCTATTGTGTTCAACCAGCGTTGCAAGTCTTGCGACTGGCTAGGATGCCTCAAAATGGATGAACAATCGTACGTAGAGCGGATTGAGTATAGACTCAAGAAATGGGCAGGCGTAAGGGATGAGGAGTCAACTTTTAGTCGTCACAAGCTACTCCGTGGCCCACATGAACGCGAGCACTGCGAGGGTTGTAAGGCGGGACATTGTGGACTGGCCCGACGAGAAGATATGTTTCCATCATAGTGGCTAGTATTGGAGTAGAAGTGCGATAGATTAATTCTATAGAGTGTTCGAATGTATAGGATGTATGCTAGTGGGTGCGGCAAGCACCAATAACAATCATGAGATGGCTCCTTCTTCAATTAGTGGAGGTGAGACGAGGCGAGATCTCACCACGCCGGTAGCAACCAGAGCTAATATATGTACGAGCAACGGATTGGTCATCAACACAGCCCTGGTCACACAAGCCCCGCCTGCGTGTATAGCAATCGCCCGGTCCTGTCGATCATGTTCGTATAAGTGCACCCAGCACCTCCAACTTGACGATCGGTTAGGCTGGACTCAGCGACATCGCTTTCGTCCCACACTTCAGCGGAGCAACGAACACCTCGCGCACTTTTCATGCCATGGCTACATCCATCCTTAGCCTACTTGGAGGCATACTAGTCATATATGTAGTTGCCCATCTCGCTCGGCGGGCAAAGCTACCCCCAGGTCCCCGTGGCCTGCCACTGCTTGGGAACCTTCACCAAGCACCGAAAGGTGCACCGTGGTTGACCTTCACCAAGTGGATCAAGCAGTACGGGAACATTGTTTCAGTCAACCTTGGAGGTACCATCATCATAGTTGGTGATTATGAAACGGCCAAAGAACTTCTCGACAAGCGAAGGAACATCTATAGTAGCAGGCCGCGTCTCGTAGGATATTACCATGACGTGGCAAGAAGTAACACTGACCGATGCGGATAGGTCATGGGGCACGAGTTAGTGTGCAACAGCAATCCGATCGTGTTCAAACCTTTTGGTACAGATTTCCTTCTACACCAGAAGCTTCAAGCGCCGGTATTGAGCCCGCGGGCAACGGCTTGCTACACACCTATTCAAGACTTTGAGAGTCAACAACTACTCAAAAGCCTTCTGAAGTCATCCGGAAGCATCGCGCATTGCGTCGAAGTGTTTGCAACGAGCTTGGCTTACTCAATGGCTTTCGGGATGCGTATCCACACCGGAAAGGAGTGGCAGGTGGAACGAACTCGCGAATGCATGAAAAACTTCCACGTTGCCGGCCAACCAGGAGTTTGGATCGTGGATGCGCTGCCGTGGCTCAACTACCTGCCCGCAGCCATTGCGCCTTGGAAGCGCCAGGCCGCAAAGTGGTTCTATGAGCTCGACGACCTGCACGTCAAGAGCTACAACGAGGCGCTCGGACGCGAGGGATGGAACTGGGCGAAAGACTTTGAGAGGGCTGCCGAAGCCCAGAGCATGACTGAGCAGCAGATCGCCTGGGACGTTGGTATACTCGCCGATGCTGGGGTTGAAACCATGAGCGCTACCCTCATGATCTTTGTCCTCGCATGCGTCGCGCATCCTGAATGGCTCACGAAGGCGCAGAAGGAGATCGACCAAGTCGTAGGCGAGCGACTGCCCGGGTTTGGGGATCTGAAGGACTTGCCGTACATCCAGGCGGTAGTAGAAGAGGTTTTCCGCTGGCGTCACCCACAACAGGCCGGCATTCCGCACGCCACGACCCACGAGGACTACTATCAGGGTTACTTTATCCCCAGGGGATCTGTTGTCATCCCAGTCTTTTCCGCGATGCGTCACAACGAGGACCTTTTTGACAAGCCGGCAGAGTTCCGCCCCGAACGCTGGATGGGCATGTCGCAATCGCAATTCAACAACTTTGGATACGGTCGCAGAATCTGTCCTGGCCGTCACGTCGCGCGCAACTCAGCAAGCATAGTAGTTGCACGCCTGCTGTGGGCATTCAATATCCGTACGCCGAGTGGGAAGAAACTCGTTGTGGAAGAAAGCATGTTCACCACGGGATTTGTATCGGCTCCGAAGCCTTTTGCGTGCATCTTCGAGCCCCGGAGCGAGACACATGTCCACGGTATCCAAGAGTCCTTTGACAAGGTAGACAAGAACCTTACGACTCTGCTCAACGAAGCGCATGAGAAGCACAACGCGATGGGAATCAAGGCTCGCGCGTAGTGCCTACCCACCATCAACCTTGACGCGCTTTGTAGCCATACAACTTATCCACCTCAACCATATAGTCGCAGCTCAAGCTGAAGCTGGTCGGCTTGCGCATCGTGATGGTGATGTCGTGGAGCAATGCGCACATGGCCGTGCTGCAGCTACTCGCGAAGGGTGGGAAGGACGAAGACGGATCGATGATGGGCAGCGGCGGGAGGGACGTTGTCGCGAAGGCTGTTCGGTATGCGAGCGAGCGTTCAGGCGTCGTCTTCGCGGTGCTCAGAGCGCAGCGCATAGTAGCCCACATCGAGGCCGGCGGTAGAGGCGAGGGATGTGTTGAGAGGTGCGCGTGCGGAGTAAAGTAGGGTTGGCGAATGACGTATCGTAGCCCAGCAGGTGAGTTGAAGCGCTGGCTTGTACATGTTTAGAGTCGCATTGCGAAGGTACTTGAAGGAGCGTTGCGCAGGGCGTCCAGGGTGAGAGGGATGTCGGTCGCGTAGTGAGAAGTGACTGAGTAAAGCCCTGTGACGTCACGGCTCGTTCTGCGAGCTTTGGCTGCCACAGGTGCCACATCGTTGGGATGATTACTTTGACAAAAGACCCGCTTCCGATCGCTTGATGCAGTCAAACAAGAGCGATGGTCCTTTCGCTGCAGACGCGCCAGCATACCCTGCTACACACGCGTCAGCGCAGCCAAGGTCAGCGACGCGCTAAAACCCTGTCGCTACCAGCAATATGTGACTGCAGTACCCGCACGATCAAGACAAATACAGGAGTTGAGCGAGCAAACTTGTCGGATGGGTGTATGTAGTAGCCCTTTAGATTATCCCATGGTAGGAGCTACTGTGCGTGGCTCTGCCGACTCGGCCTTCCTGGCACCTCTGAAGGGGTGATTCGGCGCCTCGACTGATGGCGCGCACCGCGTACACGGTGATGGAACGCAGCATTCTACGGCACGCTTTCCTTGAACAGCTCTCTGTTCGTATGCACAAGCAGTCTGATGTATGAACGACATGAAGAAGATTCGAAGACAGAGATTGACCGACTTCGATTCTGGTTGCGAGTGCTTGTAATTGCGGGCATTGGACTTGCGCTGCTGCCTACACAAGCTTTTAGACGGCGGGATCCTCGCGCTTCGGAAGGACGCCTAGGTGCTTATGTTGAACACCCACGCCGGATTTGCGATGGTCGAGAACGCAACCCCGATCAATCAGCTAATGAGGTAAGTTCCGAAGGTAAGGTGATTCGTCTTTCAGTTCTAATCTTCACAGCAAATGTCCCGCCGCTTGCGACGCCCTTATCAAGACGACTGTTCTCCGCGGTTCCGGGCTTCGCAAAGTCCGGATACAGCGGGCGCCAGATCCATCTTGAGAATTCTGCAGCTTTCGGTCGCTCCGCTTCCGGCTTTAATGCGCCGGCTTGGGATGACATCGCGTTACTTGAAGTCTCAATTTGCGCCACGGCCCAAGTCACACGCTAATCACACCAGGAGTGGCTTTACGCCAGCATGTGGACCGGCGCCGTGGCTGTGCGGTGCCGAAGGTCGTATAATGAAAAGGGCGCACTACCTCTCTGGCCGCGCGTACCAACAGTACCGATAAACGATTGGGTTGGTGCACTGAAGTCCGTTTCATGCACATCTAGACACAAAACAGAAAAGGGCTGCCGTGACTCACCGTTTGACCGGTGGTAAACACATCTCTTCGCCAAGATGGCCCTTCCGGGCACATGTACAAGAGACGGTCGGTGATTGAACAGATCAAGCAACACAACGACTTTTCGACTACAAACGATGCCACTCCAATTCTGGAGATTGCCTGGACAAGGCTCAAAAGACACCGATCCACTGCTCGAGGCAGCATGTCCTCCACAAATCGACGACGATTACCTGAAAACCGACGAAGAGGATAGCGACGACGATAGTGATGAGGACGAGGATGTGAAAGAGGCTCGTGCTGAGCGGTTGCGCGAGACTGGAGGCTGGCTTGGCTACCTGAAAGACTTTACCATCTTCCTGCCTTATGTCCTACCCAAACGAGACATCAAAGTACAGATATGTCTACTCATCTGTCTCATCACGATCGCGATAGAGCGCGTTCTGCAAGTGGCTATCCCGTACGTCCTTGGAATGATTGCGGACAAAGTCACACATGGATCGATACCTATTCGAGAACTCCTCATCTTCCTTGTCCTGGACCACCTGAACGGCGATTCAGGCTTGATCTTCATTCAAGAGCTGTCTAAAATACCCATTAAGCAATTCTCGTACAAGCAATTAACCAACGCTGCTTTCGGCCATGTCATGGCCCAGTCAATCGATTTCCACTCCACGCAAGACTCAGCAGAGGTCATGAAGGCTGTTGAACAAGGCGAAGCGTTGGGCAACGTCCTCGAGTCGGTAGTCATCGAAATCCTACCAACCATGATCGATGTCGTCGTAGCTTGTACCATCTTCTACCGAAAGTTCACTCCGGCAGTGGGGATGGTCCTGCTCGGGGCATCGATCTTATTCCTGGCAGCCGAAGCTTTCTCAACTCGACTCACAACCGGCCCCCGGAGGGAAGTGACCAAGGCGGAACGAGTCCAGATACGAAAGATGCACCAAGCGATTCAAGGTTGGCAAACTGTGACCTACTTTAACCAGTTCAAGAGGGAGGCCCACGTGTTGTCCAATGCTGTAAACGACCACATGAAGGCGAGGACACGCTTCGAAGCACGGCAAGCGTTCATCAAGGCTCTCGTTGAGCTGCTAGTACCAACTACCTTCTTCGCTCTAGCCTACCTCATCCTCCAACGCATCGCTGCAGGCACTGCATCACCAGGAGACTTTGTCTTCTTCCTCACATACTGGGACTCAATCATTTACCCGCTAAAGTTTTTGACAGAACATGTCCGGTGGTTAGTGCGCGACTTTGTAGACGCCGAACGAGTTCTGCACCTTCTACAGACCCAGCCGTCAGTCACAGACGCACCTGAAGCCTACCCACTCGCAGTGCGCGACGGCGAAGTGCGATTCGAAGACGTATCCTTCCAGTACGATTTCAGCCGCTACGCACTCCGCGACGTCTCCTTCACCGTCTCGCCCGGCCAGACCGTCGCGCTCGTCGGCCAAACCGGCGCTGGCAAATCGTCGATTCTAAAGCTACTCCTACGTCTGCACGACGTCACGTCCGGCAGGATTAGCATTTCCAAACAAGACATCCGGCACGTCACGCTGAGTTCGCTGCGCGACGCTGTAAGCGTAGTTCCTCAGGCACCCACCTTCTTCAACACGTCCATCATGGAGAACGTACGGTACGCACGCAGCACCGCGAGCGACCAAGACGTCCACGAAGCATGTCGCGCAGCCGCGATTCACGACATCATCATGCGCTATCCCAAGGGTTACAATACGCACGTCGGCGAGCGGGGCGTCAAGCTGTCCGGTGGAGAGGCCCAGCGTCTTGCGATTGCGAGGGCGCTGCTCAAGGACGCGCCGATTGTGCTACTGGATGAGGCGACGAGTGCGGTCGATACGGTGACGGAGGGTAGTATCAAGAGGGCGTTTGAAAAGCTGAAGGAAGGGAGGATTGTTATTGTTATTGCGCATCGGTTGAGTACGATTGTGGATGCAGATTCGATTCTGGTGTTGCATGAGGGGGGCATTGTAGAGAAGGGAACGCACCAGGAGCTGTGCGATAGAAGGGGACGGTATTTTGAGCTGTGGGAGGGCTCCTAGATTTTCTGGGTCTTTGATTCACAAATTGCACGATGATTCAATGTTTTGATAACAGCTGGAGAGATAAGACATGCTTTTTTTTTTCTCTTCTCTTCTTTTCTTCTCTTCTCTTCTCTTCTTTTCTTCTCTTCCAAGTTCAAGCAATTATGAACAGTACTTCTGGCCCATGCTAGGTTCGATGATGCCCATGTCGATGAAGTTAAGATAATTCCAATAGTCGGCCTGTACGCCTTGACCCGCGACCGAAACATTGCCAAAGTACTTTGCTGTCCAGTACGCATTCCCTTGTGTGTACTTGTTGTACGCGTAGAGCCCGGTATTCAAATTTTTAGCGCGATTCGCATACCTGTTGTCCGACAATGTCTGGATGGCCCACTCGCCCACAAAGACAGGAAATTTGCCATCGCCAGCAAGTGTCTTGGCATCTGCGCAGATGCTAGTGGTGACGTTGTCCGAATCGCTCGGGCGGCCAAAGTAGTAGTTGTGCACATCGAACACAATGTTTGTGCTTGCAGCAAAGTTTCCAGACCAGAATGGCTCGCCTTTGAAACTGCCCTGGAACATGATTGGGATCTTTGGGTTCACGGCTTTGGTATGCTTGACCACGGCGTTGATGTATTTCTGGACCCAGGCAGCACCATTATCTGACAAAGCTGCCGGGGTGCCGAATTTGGAAAAGTCAGGGTTGTCGGCTGGTTCGTTGATGGGTGCGAGTGTGTATGACTGCGGGCTTCCGGACTTTTGGATGAACTTCAGGACTTGGTCGACTGCTTGGAGGGAGAGGTCGAGGTTGGTTTGGTTGTTGAACCAATCCCATTTGCCAACGCGCTAGATGGAATTAGCAAACGTGTATGGCAAGCACTGCGTTTGTGGAAGGGTTTACCTCGCCAATGTCCAGACCATTGATACCACCCGGAAGACCATGGATATCGAGGACGATATGCATGCCATACTTCTTAATGGCGTGCGAAGCGATTTTCTTGATGTACGATTGCTGGTTTCCAGAATGGTACTGCGCACCGGGAACCTTGATCCACGCTGCGTAGGTGGTCGGAATGCGAAGAAGGTTCACTCCGCCCGAGGCAAGCTTATCAATGTCATCGCGAGTGATGTACGTCGCATAGCGCTCCTCAAAGACCGATGCGCACCTGTCGCCCAGTTTGGCACAGCAATTCCACTCATCGGCGGTACCGTTGCAATATGTGCCCCAGAAATATGGATCGATGGTGGCTTCCTGGCAAAGCCATCCACCGAGATTAACTCCATTGGCTCTGAATTTTCTCCAATTGACATAGTCGTCGCGGTGCGATGTAGTGGGGGTTGCTAGGACATTGGAAGAGAATGCAAGAAAGGATGCGCCTAGGGCTGTGAACGCGAACATGTTCGTTGATCTGAGACGTGTCCGCATACGATGAATGAATATTTCATAGTTGATGGTGTATGAGTATATATACTTGTCACAATGAAGTGCATTTCATCATTCAAATTGTTTACGGGTTAGCATGTACGGATTTTACATCTTGATATTGTGGGGGAAAAACATGGGGAAGATGTGGAGCCGGTAGGGCTATATACAAAAAGGCATCAATCTGCCCCGCAAACTGGTCTAGTGTTCTCAAATGAGTTAAACCGAAGCCACCCATTTCTTACATGCACGTGCCGCAGTCCCTGACAAGGCTAGTTCAATCGGTGAAATTCATGCCGAACTTCTGTCCCGAGTTTCGGTTGTAGATTATGGACCGACACACGCCTCTTGACAGCCCGCGGTGGCCGGAATGAGAGGCGAGGAAAGGGCCAGCATCTCGTCAAGGGAATGTTGCCATGTGTAATGAACATGTTGACCACGTGCGTTTATTTGAGTATCTGGCCTTCTCTGTGATGATGATTTCTACGCGATAGAGCAGGTTTGAAACAGCCGTCCGCCGACACCCCAACAGGATACTAAGACAACGAACAGCAGCAGCCAACTCCTCGATGGATGCGCACAGGTGCTCTTTAGCAACTGCGGCAGTATTTTCTGCTTTCTCTTCCATTTCGATGTTCTGTTAGGCATGGACCATTACATTGCTGTGATCGAACCCGATGCGCATCTCTTGCACCCGCTCGACGATCTGCAGCGCAAGACGCACAGCTACAGCACAGCCGACATGGATACACTACGCGCCCACACTTACACTGCATGAAGATTCAAGACAAGGCTTGGACAGGAGAGAAGAAATTGCTGTTAAATATCGCGATAATAGCTTCTTAGGGTAGCTCTACAGCCTTATCTCTATTATCGCAGCTTTATGTTAGGGTGGGTCGGATGCCAGCATGGGTCAGATAGTGCGCTAACACTGTAGCGATTGGCCTGCGACACACTGTATGTCGAACACGTATGAGAATCATTTATATTGGCTGAGCCTTTGTCTGATCAGAGCTCACCGGTCTCTAACGCCACCACTACCCCTCAACAGCATATTCACCAATCTGCGCTCAGGATACACTGTTGCCTAGATGTCAATAAGGCGTGGTATATATTGACTCGCTGCATGTACATGAGACTCTAGTATCAGGGCACTTTCTGAAGCCCATATCTTCAAGATGTTTGATCAGCAACACGACCTCTGAAAGCTGCCCTAGGTATATACAGCACCAATCATCCTCCACATTGAAGTTCGAGATCCAACTTTTGTATCTTGGAAGCGACCACCATGGAGACCTCGGCTTACACCCCATCTTTGTTGGGTCAACATCTGGGAGGGTAATCTACTCAATTCACTTCTGTTTACAAAACTTCATCGTTACGAATTCTACTTCTTCCTACTTCCGCAAGCACGCAATACATCGTCGTACAAGTCATGCAGAGGATACTACATTGCTACTGACAGTTTCTGCAAGGGCGGGTTTTCAATATTCAGACAGTCTGTGTGACCAGCAACTACGGCTACTCGATCTTCACTTCGGCCATGGCGATGAGATCATCTGCCTCGGTATGCGTACGTACAGGATCGACGACCATCCGCCGTACATCGCATTATCCTACAGTTGGGGAGACCCACACAAAACTGTGCCTGTCCTATGTAATGGGAGAGTCATCGCTGTTACTCGAAATCTCAAAGAAGCTTTGTGGCAATTTCGAGAGGATCGCAAACGATTGGTTAGAGCAATGCCTGATGGCCAGCGTCTGAACTTCTGGGTTGATGCCATCTGTATCAATCAGACAAACAATGAGGAGAAGAGTTTCCAAGTTGGTTTGATGGCAGACATCTATCAGCGGGCTCATCATGTCTTTGCTTGGTTGGGACCAGCAAACAAGAGCAGCGACTTAGCGATCCGTTGCATCAACACTATCGGAAAGATGGCAGAAGATTGTCGAATGGGAAATGCATTCGAAAAATGCCTCAAAATCTGGCAGGAAATGGATTGTGTGCGCGGAGGGAGTCAGCGGCTGGCCTCGGTCGACATTGGCTTTCGAGACATAAATGGATCCCTATTCACAGTATCTAGAAAGGCCTTTCAAGACTTATTCGATGTTTTTAGCGGCCGGAGCAGTCAGATCAATTTGCTCCCAATTGCCGAGTTGAAAGACTTCTTTACCAGATCCTGGTGGTCACGAGTGTGGGTCTTACAAGAGGTTACTCTTTCAAGGGACACACATTTGATCTGCGGAGCGCAAACAGTCTCAAGGTACCGCTGCGATGCTTTCATACACATGTATGCTGCACTGTGGACCATCATGGTCACTAGGTTTCGGAGAGATCAAGGATCTTTGCACCGGTATCAGCACGACATTGTCATGCATCTATTCCATCACCGTCCAACCATCATGCTTTCCATGCCAAGAATCCATCATGGAGGCAGATTCTCATTGGCAGCGCTCCTTCGTGCGACGTGCGTCGGCAGCATAAACCTGGATAGACATGGACCTCATGATCTCGTATCAACAAAACCAGAGGACAAAATATTCGCGCTGCTAGGTCTAGCTGCAGATCGGAAAGAGTTGGAACGTCTAGGCGTTGTCCCAAACTATGATGTTCCCTACGAACAAACATATGCGACTACGATGGCAGCATTACTACGACAGGGTCATATATCCCTGCTGTCAATGTGTCAAGCCTCAAGATCGCCGGATCTCCCATCTTGGGTTCCGGACTGGTCTGAATCTGTGACTGATATGTTGCAGGATATACATGACGACCATGTAACTCCATATCCAGAGTTCAATTGTTCAGGACATCGGACACATCAAGATTCAATCAAAATATACAAGGATATTGGGCCACTGAAGCGCATATCAATGAAGGCTTGTTTATACGATAATATCTATCAGGTCGGTCGGTTCGCCAATCGGACTAACAGTAGAGAGGTACCGCTTCCGCAGACTTATTCATGGCCGGTAGAATGGCTACTCGAAATTTTGCGCCTAAGTTATTGTAGGAAGAAAGATTACAAGGGATTCCACAACCGATTACGCGCCAGCGGACGGAATTCAATCGGGGACGTCGGATTCGACCATGATGGGAAGTTTGAACGCGTAGGGAATGTTCGATTCGGTGATGCTGTTATCCTTCTACGAGATGGACTCCATCTAATCAAAAATCCGCGCTTCGGACGCGAGGCTCAGCAATTCATAAGAATTCAGGCACGAAACAGTAAATTCAGGAGGGGGATTGCGAACGAAGTCCCGCTAGCATCGGAGATCATAGGAAAGAGCTTGGGACGGCTTCCTTTCGTCACTCAGAATGGCCATCTCGGCCTGAGTTCTGAACTTATAATGCAGGGTGATAAGATTGCAGTTATTGCAGGAAGCCAGGTTCCGTTTGTACTTAGACCGCGGGACGAGGGCCAATTCAGCGTGGTCAGCGAAGCCTACGTGGACGGCATCATGGATGGTGAGATCGGGGAAACCTCAAAGTACGGTGATGTCACCTTGGTATGAGTTTTCCATCTACGTACAAGCAACCAGAAAGCTATTTAGTGCTGGGATGAGTCTTGTAGTCCAATTCTTCACTGGCATTTCTGCGAGTTTAGCAAACGCGAGAACCGCTTGAGCCGTATTGGCTATCAACCTCGCTTATCCTGGTTCTTCCCCTCCTGCACGTCGTAGCCACATGACTTGGCGGGTGTCACAGCTGTCACCCACCTTCATCTTCCTCTTCATCCACGACGACAAGAGCGCAAACATACTGTGCAACATTTTTGTTGGTGTTTTAACACACCGAGCGAATCTTATCGCGAAAGAACATGGAGATGATGGTCTCGCCATCATGTGCGCACACCACCGAACGCTGGAAACCCTTGAGATGTCTGCAGCGCAAGGATGCCACATATGTCAAGCATTTTGGTTGCAGGTGTCCGAGATTGAACAAGACGCTTTGCGAGCTGCTGAGACGAAACGACTCTTAGCCACCCCTAGCCGACCGCCGGAAAAGCCAGAACCCGATAACCTGCAAGAGTACTTCGGATGGCTAACTTTTACCCTGCTTCTCAAAGAGCCATGGGGCTCGGTGGTGGATTATGTCTTGATGCTAAAGTTCAGTGGCGAGGGAATCGATTGGAAGAGTGTTAGCCCTAAGGATACTCTTGCGCTTGGACTTCACACTTTCCAGATATGCCACAGTACGTAATTCACGCTCCACTTCTGAAAGTAACTAAATCATAGAAGATCCTGATTGTCAACCTACTCAAGCAGTCAAATCATACAGCACAGATTCAGACGAATCCTGGGCTACTGCAATGACATGGTTCGACCAATGTGTTAAAACACATGTAAAATGCAACCCGAAGCGCGACCGTCCGGCCTGGTACCCAACAAGGCTACTGGGTCTTGGATCAGGTCAAAATGGTAACCAAACCGTGCGACTGATTCAAACAGCCGATGAAGCGATGAGTGGTCCGTACGTGACATTGAGCCACTGCTGGGGGAAATCTCAGTTCATCCAATTGAACAAGAACACTTCCGCGAGTGCGCGCTCTGGCGTTTCCATCGAAGTCATGCCCAAGACCTTCAAAGAAGCTATTCTCACCACGAAACGATTCGGTACCAGGTACATTTGGATTGACAGCACGTGTATACAGCAGGTATGACAGCATATGGGCGAAGACTGTTCAAGACGGTGGCTGACAGAACACAACGAAAAGGACGATCGATCTGACTGGTTTCATGAAGCAGGTAATCGTACCCATCTCCTCCAGGTTTTCCAAAAGACGCAATAATACGGCATGACATAGCGCTCATGCATAAAGTATACTGGAAGTTGACCGCAGCATAGGATGGAGGATTGATTGGTCGCTGGATGATTCACGTGACTATGCAATGTATCCTGGGCTTACACATCAAGGAATGATAGACCTTATAGCGTAAGTCTTCTATTCTAAGAATGTCTATTTTTGTGACCTGTTGTAAAGTTCGTTGTGTTGGGGCGTGTCTGTGTTGTACTGTCACGCAGTATGTCTCGTTACGCAGTGACCGACGTTACATTGTGTGTTGCATCTAACTGCAAACGCGGCAGGACTACATGATTTACATGCGTGTGCTATCATTTTCAGCACAGAAGTGATCTCTTTAGCTTTCCCGACAGATTTGATTTATACGGGCACCTCATGTGGTCCTGACCTAGCCGTTGATGCCACACTACTTAGCCCTCAAGGTAGTTGTGGTTGCAGCAGACAAAATCTCTTCCACCTGGACAAACGGGATCTGTACGCACATCAGAGACCGCATCATACCTAGAGTTGCCAGAATCAAATGACTTACCGGAGTTGACGGACCGGCAACCTTCTCTCCACAGACACTGAGTGCCAGAGCCATGGCCCGGGCAGTCACGGACGACACACGCCATGATGTTTGTGGGGTCCGAAGGGCAAGGCCAATTACCAGGAGTTCCGGTGTAGGGGTTACCGCCCCATCTATTGCGGCATACGTTATAATCGAGGCAAATGCAGTCATCGCCCCAGTTGTTTGAACAACGGCCACCAACGACCGCTAGGGTCGGAGCTGCGCCCAACAGGAATGCAAGGGTAGCACTAATGAGCTTCATATTAGAAGTGAATTGATAAATTGATCTGCTTTGAAATAAATTCTGCGCATCAGTCAGGGAGCTCTCGGTGTTTATATAGGCGCAGCATCGATTGGTACTACCATATCAGCTCTGCACTGTCCGTTAACAGCCTACGCTGTCACTGAATGCAGGTTCACCCTGTATCAGACACTAATTAGTCATAGTTGCTTCTATTTCACTTCAATCAGGTTTCAGTCGAGGCTTCCCTGGTTTGCTATCATCGGAGATCTCTTTAGCTGAAGTTTCCTGTTCATCAGCTGAGGCTATTTTGCCTTGTACGACGAATACGACGTCAGGACAAGCCTTGCAAGGGTTTACTGACAGCTAGAGAAGATGAGATGGTCTCACAAGCTTGCAACAAAGCGAACAAAGGAGCAGAGTGAGGCACTCCGACGCTTCTATCTTGCCAGGATGGCGCAACAATATAAGGCGGAGCAGATTGTTGCGTTGGACACGAGCGCCTGCAATGAGCGTATGGGCTACCACAAGTATGGCTGGTCTCCAATCGGGGAGCCGGTGGAGCTATTATACAGCTTCAGGCGATCAGAACGGTGGTCGCTGCTGTCAGTTATGATGATAGATGACTAAATAAGCTATAGGATCTTTTAAGGCGCGATTACAGCTGAGATCCTAGAATACGTCTTAGAGTTTCAAGTGCTGCCGTTATGCAATCCTCACCCAGGGCCAGCCTCAGTAATAGTGCTTGATAACGCCTCCAGCCATCAATCAGAGCGTGTACGGGAGCTTTGTCAAAGTACTGGAGTACTCCTTGAGTATCTGACGCCATACTCACCAGATTTCAACCTCATCGAGAACAGTGTGTCCAACAACCAAGTAACTTACTTGGTTGACATCAGGGCGCTAGAGCACCACAGTGGGCCAGACTAAACTAGTGGAAACCTCAAGCACCGACGTGCGATATCGGCCAATCGCCTCAAGACGATCTGCTTACGTAAAAGCAACCGGTTGAACCGGCTGGTCCAGAGGGTCCACATTTTCTTGGAGCCCTGGTGTCAACCAAGTAAGTTACTCGGTTGTTGGACACACTATAAGGGTATCCACCATCAGCTTGTATCTAGCTTTCATTGTCGCCCGAGACGTGGGCGTTGTTTACAGAAGCGTCTGACAGAAGTGGCTTCAAGTGACAGCAGATGTTCCGCTATATTTCCGCAGATCGTTGACATATCTGCCTTAGCTCTTTCCGCCAAGTAGGCCTAATGGAGAAAGTGGGCCCCTAGGAGATTTGGGTACCAAAAGTCCAAAACTGTCACACCACTATTTGGTAAAGTTTGTCGCAGCTCTCTTACTACCTACAACTCTTTCAATATGGAATAGACAAAGTGGCGTCTTTGGGGGCATGCGCTTGAGACTCAACATGACCCGAACAGCTGTCAGTGTGACGTTTCTGTACGTGTTTATTACATTAGGACGGGCTGAACTGAGATCAGCTGTACCTTTTGCAGCCGATGCAGACAACAAAGAGAGAAGAGCTGAGTTTAGAGGAGACAGAATCTCCGCGGCGAGTCCAATCTGGCACGCTGGAGACGTCTATATAAGACCTATGACCATTCGTTCCGAGACAACCATCAGAACAACGCAAACATTCATAGTTATCAAGCATCTTACTCATCATCATCATATCATTCCTCACAACTACCAAACTCATCTTCGTTCAACATCAAGATGAAGACGTTCATGATCTTTTCGATCCTTGCTATGGCTCTCGCTGTTTCGGCAGTGCCCCTCGACGAGCGCGACCCTACGGACACAGATCCAGCACCCGGAGGTGGATCGGGTAGAAGTGGAAAATGTAATGGTGGCCAGAAACAGGCGTGCTGCAACACCGGATTGCCCGATGTCTTGATCTGTAACATTCAAATCTTGGGCTCCACTTGGAACCAAGAGAAGTATTGCTGCTCGACCAGCGCTCCAGTCATAAGTATCCCTTTTACGCTTAGCCGTACACCATGGTCCTTCTGAGTCCTACTTATAATCTTTACCCTACTGCTCAGCGAGCTATTATTATCAGCCAATGCTAATTGCCATTGGTCACACGGCGCTGCTCTAGTCAACATTAATACAGCCAACTGTGTCAAGATCCTCTAATCTCAGTCCTGATCCCACATATGGCGTGGAGCTCTTAGGGAAGTAACGGCACTGCACGAACACGAAGGCAGTTCAGAAATTCCATCATCTGATTTCCATTTCGCTTTGGATTTCTACTACGCTCGCTTATGTTTATGGCGATTTAGTCTAGGGGATTGCTTTACACAGTGGTGTCTACGCTCCTTAAAGTTTCACTCATGTACTTGAACGACATAAGTAGCATGATTAGAAAAGCGATTAACGATCAAACACAGCTTCTATCTCAGCGCGTGACAGATGGAAGCTTCTTTCGGAAGTATCTGCAGCCGTGACGATCGTAAATGGCCTCTCCCGAATAATAATACGTGGTGATCAAAACTTGTTGAAATGTCAGAAAGCTAGTATTATCATTAGAAAACGTCACGGTTTGCGTTGTAGCTTAATCGTTCTTACTCTATCGTATCCGGTTAAGCACAGCAGGCCGTACCACCAGAGATTTCGGTCTTATTACAGACTCACCTGCATCCTATCTGGTCGCAGACTTAGCATGATAAAGGTTTCGAGCTTTTCTTTCTCTTACCACGTTTACTCTTCTGCCTGATAGGATCGTTGGTCGCAACTACCAGTTCACAGCGACGAACTCTACCTCGTACAACGAGTACCAAGAGAGCTCACGTTAACAGGTATTCACTATTCCGGAACACCATGCGACCGCCTATTCGAGAACCCAAAATGCATGGGATATTGTAAAAATGAGGCGATTGCGCCAGATAGGAGTGCATCATGTATTTTTTAGGACTTTGCTGCTTCGCAAATCATGGGCGAAAACCTTCCTGAGAAGCATTCTGCGTCGCCGATCTTGACGAATCTCGTACCCACATCCAGTGCGACATTCACAACTACTTCTTCTGGTCGCATAACATCCCCGGCTGTATCATCAATAAATGTGCTTGGGTTGTCCGAGAACGTCTTCTCGCACCACGCGTTTTGTGTTTTGGCCACTCACAGCTTCTCTGGGAATGCATTGAACATGATGCCTCTGAGTCGTACCCAAACGGATTACCTGCTTTTTTCCAGAAACAAGTCCTAGCCAACTTTAAGGCCCTGGACGCAGACACGTACATCAGGAAGATAGAAGCTCAAGGGCGCCAAGTCGATCGAGACACTGCCTGTTATGTGATCTGGAACAGGATCATCTCAGCGTACTCCGAAACACTCCTCACGGTAGCAACCGACAAACTGATCGCGCTGTCTGGTATTGCAAAGCAAATGAGGCCGACCGTCAACAACGATACATATGTTGCTGGTATGTGGAGAAAGCACCTCGAAAGTGCATTGCTTTGGCGAGTAAAAAATCACGAGAAGATTGATGGCTCGCGTTCATGTCGACCTACACCCTACCGAGCTCCAACCTGGTCATGGGCCTCAGTCGACGGCGTTGTGATCACGGAAGCTGTGAGAGTTAAAAGCGAATGGGCGATCGAGGTTGTCGACCACCACCTTGGAAACGCGACAAAGGATACCACGGGTCTTGTTACCGGTGGCTGGCTTGACTTGCAAGGTGCACTGAAACCATTAGGTCTTACACACGAAACACAAGATCGGTGGCGCATGTTAGTAAACAAGCGCATGTTGGTAAACAACGTGCTTGTTCGCCCGCAAGACGATAGTCTCCCAGACTGGAAGCGTATAGGTCCTCTTGTTCACCTCGACGTACCCGCCACAGATGACGCTTTTGTACACGACATAACCCAGCAGCGTCTCTTCTTTATGGTCGCTCGGATACTAGAGAGCGACAATGAGTACATCCCGATTTTGTTGCTACGTCTCTGCGATACTGACCGGAGGTTGTTCGAGCGCATTGGTATCGCAACTGGTGGTCCGAAAGGCGGAACAGAGATGCTACTAGCGGAGCTTGACGAAGAGACAAGAGCTTCTCTGCTAGGTCCACACCAGAACTCAATCTAGCTCGTAATACGTCAATGTCACGTCAAGATATCGGATCAGAAGGAATTTTCCACAGTGGTATACTATATGTCTCGGTTTCACCTGTTCCTTCCGCCGCTCTGATGATGTACGCTTATTTGGGTTGTTGGTGTCATGGTTTCGACTACGTGTCAAGAAAGTGGGTAGACAGGATGCCGGAGGAAATTGGCAACAGAGCACAAGTAAACTTCATCCTGCCGATCGGAGGCTGAGACAACAGTCGGTTGCCGAACTGGAGATTATCAAAAAGAAGGAGCAAACGGATGAGGACTCACCAATGGAAAACTTTGATATCAGGATGAAAAACTCCCACAACCAACGCGAGATGTCTCAGCATCTAGCCCACAGAGCATTAACCAAGTGCAGAATGTTGATCAAGCACCCGAACAGAAAGGTCAATACAAGTCCAACCCGGGCTGTCATTCGCGCTGGCACCCAGGGTCAATATCAAAAGGCTGCATGCTGCGGAACTATCGCATTGTGCACGCAACGCCTACGCGCTGTTCGTGGAATGACCTCGGATATGTGGCGGCAGAGCGGCACGGTGGGTGGCCTGAAGGTCGGTACCGACGGGAGGGTTGTAGGCGCCCACGCGGACGCAAGGTTACTTGAGCTTGACAAAGCTTGATTTCGTAGCGCTGATAGGTAGATGCACCCACCCCCTTGCTAGCGCTAGGCTTAGCACAATATCCATCTCCAGGCAGGAAGATAGCGTTGGCAGCAGGCGTAGGTGTCTTCCAACTTGGTTATGTCGTATCTGGTATCCGTAGGACGTCTTCTTCTTTAGCAACGGAGAGCGCACAGGCATGTATAGATGTCTTGAGGTTGCGCTCGTAGACACTCCTGCGTGGCTGCCTGGTGCGGGGTTTGTGGGCGGCAAGCAGAGAAAACGACTGTGCCGCAAAGCTGCGTCTGACTCAGGTCCACTCAAGGTCGGCTCTAACTGTTTCAGGAATGAAATTATCCTATCTTGGGGATTGGCTGCCAAGTCGATAGTCCATGCTTGTGTACATGCTAATACACCCGGTCGACCCCGCCTCTTCAAGGTATGGTTGTCCTTAAGCGATAGGTAAAGGGTCGGGTGAGCGAAGAGAAGGGTATGGGGGTTATGGAGGCTGCACAAAGATCGGACTGGACGTGCAGATTATTACAGAACCTGCACCTGGTGTAGATGTAGGAATAGACGATAACAGATGGTACAGCGTGAGCAAGTTTGTAGGCTTTGTCTTGATGGTAAGCTTGAAAGGGAGAATTACAAGGCGGCATAGGCCGACCCTAAGCTGAAGGATCGTGACGAGTGGGTACCCCATTCCTTCTCGGCGTACCTCTTCTTTAGGCTGCCAGGGGGCTGTCGAATAGACTAGTAAGGCTTGAGAGATAAGGGTACCGAAGGTCTTTGTTAACATATGAGACTTCGCTTCATTCACTCCGCTCACAACATCATTCAACAATAAGACCGCGCACACTTCCACCCACTATCCTAAGTAACTGCTTGCAAAAATCAGCGACATGTCTGAAGCACCCGAAGACATTGTCGAACACGCCTATAATCACATTGCGCAATGGTATCTGGAATGGGTTGAAAGCGACATGTCACCACGCCAAAGATACACAAAGAAACTCCTGGACAGATTACCGCCCTCACCATCCGTTCTAGAGCTTGGCTGCGGCCCTGGTGTGCCGGTATTGAATATGCTGGTCGATCGTGGAGCCCACGTCACAGCAAACGACATCTCTGCCAAGCAGATTGAAATGGCTAAAGCTCGTTGCCCGCATGTAAAGTTTGTCACTGGTAACATGGCCACACTTACGTTCGAAGCTGAGAGCTTCCACGGCGCGCTCAGCTTCTACACCCTGTTCCACCTCCCTCGCTCCCAACTTAAGGATTTGCTCGCCAAGATCTATAAATGGATCAAACCTGGAGGTCTCTTCGTTTTCAATCTTGCAGGCATTGACGAAGAAGAAATACATGGCGAGATGATGGGTTATGGGATGTTTTGGAGCAGCTATGGAATGCAAGAGAATCGCGAAATTTTGGAAGATATAGGCTTTGAATTGTTAGAGGTTGAGAAGGTGAAGGCAGGTGATGGCAAGCTGGAAGAACATGAGCCAGATTACGAGTCTGAGTTTGTTTGGGTGATGGCGCGAAAGCCGGATGCTAACAAAGGAGATATATCAGAGTACTGGAGTCAACGTGTGTGATAAGCAGGGGCCACACCCTACCAAATTTGCTCATTTCACTGCGTGTTCAATCAAGCACGTTACTAGTATACAGCGATTCATTGTATCCAAGTACAAGAACAAGCGTTCAACAAGTTTGAATTCTATCATCAACCGATAGCCGTGCTCGAACATCGTACTTTGATCCAGCGCGCGTCGAAGCAGTCATGTTATTGTGAAAACTGCAGACAGTTCTTTGTTATCTTACTTTTCTTAGTAGAGCAACGAAGTGGTTTGGTAAAGAGTTCCTACCTACGAGACCATGCACCGCAAATGTATGTGTTTGTTTGAGACAGACTAGATCGAAGTTATGTTAGCTGCGTGCAGATATACAGCGTTTTTAGTGCTGGCAAGGTGACAAAAAAGCGCCACCACACTATAAGCAGGATACTGGTTGAACTTCGACTAATTCACCACATCTTCTACTGGGCATATCTAGTCTAGTCCTACCTCCTCATGGCCCCTCCATTTCGATCCGAAGAGATAGAATGGAATGCACAACAGCATACCCATCGAGACAAACATGAACATGATCATATACACCTGGATCCATCCGCTCGATGCAATCTAATCTACAGCAGTATAAAGAAACAAAAAGGCAACTAGATTTTTGAAGACATTGATTGCGACCAGAGCCTCGGAGGCGTTCCTAGTGAAGCACTCCACAACGTAGGTGATCGCAATGTTGGGCGCGAAGATCGTTCCGAAAGACACTGCAAGGGTCAGCGAAATCAAAAAGATGCCAGAGAGACTCACCCATGCCGAAACCGAATGCGATTGCAACCCAGTGCAGCTTGTGAGAGCATGAAAATGCAATCACGATGCACCCTACCGGAGCTATAGGGCACCCGGGAAGCATAGAAATCAGCCGCTGCTCTGGATACACGACACCTAACTAATATGAGGCGACGAATCCGGGGTGATTTGTGCCGAACTAGGCTTAGCGTTAGGGTTTCCGCCCGCATCTAGTAAAAATATCACCTCTAATTTGCAAATTTTAACACCTCTAATTTATTACGACACAAGACTCTATAAGACTTAACTTCTATATAAAACTTTATTATACTAACGTTTTAAGTCTATATATAGAGTTTTAGCTACTAGTAAGCACGTTTGTATTAAAAGTTAGAGTTAAAGTTATGTCACGGGGTTAGTAGGCAGGGAAGGTAGGTGCACGTGATTAGTATATTCACTACGATATCGCTAACAGTACAGAGTTAGGCTAAGACAAAGACGTAGCTTAAGGAGCGTACGACAGAGCGCGTTCGCGCAGGAATTTTAGCGATCGCGCAGCTGCTCGCTTAGCAGCTTAGCGCGCTCTAATAGGCTATCTAGGTTAGCGCCGTAATAGTACTCTCCTTCTTAGGCGGAGCTCTAACAACGCGATTAACAGAGCTTGTTTAGGTAATAGCGGTAGAAGTTCTTAATAATCTCTTAGGCGTTCCTAACGTAGTTAGCTAGTACTTTAGTAAGCTTGTTGTATCTAACCTACTTTACTATATACTTTAGTTAGGGCTAGCCTCTACAGCCGCGGCGGTCTTAGCAAGAGTCTAAGATATCCTTAACTTCTTACTCCTTAACTCTCTTAACTTCAACAGGAAGGGGCAAGTCTTGTCGCTGCCTAAGCAGGAGGTTAGTCGCAGCTAGTGTAATAGGCTAAAGCCTAGTTAGCGAATCTTTAATAATATCTTAGTTACGTGCATAAGTGCACAGTTCGCAGTTAACGCGTTTAAACAACGCTTAGACTAAACTCCTAAACCTTAGACTAAAGGATAATCTAAGCTGCTACTAATTAACTTTTAAGACAAAGTAGCCTATAGTTCTCTTCTCTATTAAATACAACTTTAGTATACCTATGCGATAGCTCTCTAAGCGTAGCCCCTTATATTTTGTATTTAATCTTAATTAACAGAGCCTTGCTTTAAGACTCTATTAACGCAACGCGCGTTAAGCTTTTTAACCGCCTCTTCTGTTACGTGCGAGTAGGTTAATCTGCTACACAAGATTAGTGTTGTACAAAAGCACAAAAGGCCTTTAGATAACAACTAAGTATAAGCTATTACAAAATTGCTAGCTTAGGACTGCAGCTTCGTAAGACGCTTAGTTAACGCGCTACTAGCCTTGCGTAACGTCTAGCAGTAAACGCGTATAGTACAGCTAGTAGATCTTAGTTGCGCGCAAAGTATTATTTAGTAAAAGCTCTACGCAATACTTTAACAGTACAAAAGTGTAAGTCTTGCTATTTGCAAAAGACCTTTATAAGAAAGTAAGTAATTGCAGTTAAAGCTTTATTAGTCCTCTAAAGTTTGAGGAACAGGCAACAACTTTGCGCAACAGCTAAATTGCAGCTAAGAAGTAAGCTGTTATTAGAAGTCTTATTAGTCCTCTATTAAACAGAGCATAGGCCGCGATACTAAGTTAAAGTACTAACTAGTACAAGATCGCAAGCGTAAAGTTAAAAGAACTACTAAAAGTCGCGACTACAATAGCAATTAAAAGCTATTTAGATAAGCCTTACTTTTAAGAGCAAGCTATAGAAGCCTTATACAGTAATAAGCTACAAAAGCCTTACTAGTCTTTACTATAGAAGAGTAGGCTATAACGCAGAAGCTTATAAGAAGCTTAGCTACTAGACTAAAGCAATTAAAAGAGAGAATACTAATTAAGAAGCCTTGCACAAGAAGCAGGTACATATAGAAATAAGCTCTCTAATAAAGAATTAGAACATAGAGGACAACTTACCTAACCTTAACGCAGACAAG